AAGATACGCTTAAAAAAACACTTTTAAGAAAATTGATATAAAGTTGATAAAATATTGATATGCACGTGTGTGATGTCATACAAATTTTTTTTTTAACCGAATTATTAACTAACCTTTTAAAATATATCAAATATTATTTTAACATTCTGTGAATTTCGTTACAAAATGCATCAGAAGAGTTTCTATTTTTCCAATAGCTATGAATCACATTTATTATTTCGTCTCGTTACAATCCGTATTATAATTCAATCTACATACTTTAACTCATTTTGTATTATTCTTGCAAAATGTCACTAAACTGTTTAAAAGTCGACAAGTTATATTAAAATAGGCACTACAAGTGACACAGTTATTTCATACTTATAAACAGCTAATCTCGATATAATATGACAAGTTCCCTGTGACAAATCTTCTCTAAGTATTCTCAAATTTGTATAATCTTCATCTTATTAGATGTATGTACCACTTTACAGAAAATCTTTTGATTACTCATTAATTTAAATTACCGTTATAAGTTAGCGATATATTCATTTTATTATCATTTAATTGTTTGGATATAGATGTTGCTAAATGACAACTTGTTAATAATAATGTTACATATCCAGGAGAAAAAAAGAAAGAGAGATATATTGATATATATATATATATATATATATATATCACATATCGAAATGAATATATAGCTAACTAATTTTCGACTTGCTTTGCGAACATATTTACAATCGCAACGGTGAAGTAAAATATCCACATTTACCTTAATATCTTAGTAACAAATGGCACAGATTTTCTGAAATACATTACATATCTCATATTGTTCCAATACGGAATTTTAAACGAAGTAGAACGATCGAATACAGAGAATACATGTAGATGTATTATGAAATCTAAGTTGCCATTGTTTACAGCTATGTATAAAATGCAAAGACAAAAATGCACTACAAGTTTCCGAACATTTGTATGCTTTAATCATGATGATAAATGCACTTTGACACATTGAAGATACATTAAAAATTGTATAAATAAGATAAACTCTATCTGAGCCGCGATGGTCTTTTCAATACATAGAATTTACTCTAACAATTACATTCGATTATAAAGCTAAGGTAGATTGTTGACTCGTTAAAATGGTTAAGAACAATAAAATAAATTATCGAAATAGATGAAATAAAAAATAAAAAATCCTTGGTCTGGCAATAAGAAAGAATCGGATACTTTGGTGTCTGCGTAGAACAAGACCTGTTCATGTTGAACGCGTTTTAGAACCTCGCCAATGCACATTTAAAACTACACGTACTTAGTAATTTTGGAAGAAATCAGGAAATGTAGTCCCTTTCTATTTCGATATTGCTATCTCTCTTACATGCGTCATTACGAGTATTCTACATATTACTTCAATCTCAATGAAATTCACGTGTCTGATAGTATCAAATAGAAAAAATGACGAATGTGATGTACTAAGATCGTGCAGCTAAATACACATTGCCCTTCTTTACAACTATACAAATATATACATGCATGTCATTTCCTTCTGTTCTTTTATAGGTTTATACAAATTCAATACTCTCAGTTCGTTTATGTCGCATGCACATCTACTATGAACCAGGTCTTAGTGATGTTCGACTATCTCTCTCTTATAGGGGTTGTCTATGTTAAAATCATATATATATATATATATATATATATATATGTGTATAATACGCGAGAGCAATCCTAACGTGATTACGTGAACAGAAAGCGTATTTATAAGTTTTTATTCATCCGATATCCGTGAGTTGCTTAATATTATCCAATGTGCTTTTGAGAAAGCATTATATAGACGTATCACAGGTACTGCTGCCAGACAGAGCCATCTTCGAGAGACTAGAAAGACTTCGTCTGGGACTACTACCACCAAGGAAGCTGCTGCTGGATTCGGAAAATATTTTTCGGAAACTGTAAAGTTCAATCACCGCTATTAATTGCATTATATATCAAATATGAACGTAAAGGAACGTACATAACGATATGTCGACACGTACAATTTACGAATGCCCGACTCGGAAGATTTCTTCCAAGGTGCATCATCCGGCTCGTAAGGAAGCGGTCCTTGCACGGGCGCATCTTTGTCATCCTCTGGACTGAAAATCCAACATGGAAGTGATATAAAATTACGGAGTAGATATTTATAAAATATAATTATGGAATATATGTAATAGGTGGAAAATAAGATATTTTTTATTAAGGTAAGAGAATATTTATGAATTATTCTTATATGAATAAGACCTCTAATGTTTAATGACGTACATTTCAGGCTTTGGTCGATACAGCTCCAGCTCGTCTTCCAGATCCGAAACTCTTGCTTTCAATTCATTTCGCTCGTGCAAAATCTCTTTCAGTTCCGAAGTTGTAAATCTTGGTCTATCGGGGTCATCCAAGTCGTAAATCGCTTTATTTGTTAAGTCTGGACAGCCTTGCAACTTAGTTAAGTCTTCATTCTCTTTCTTAGCCATGCCAAGCCGAGCTCGTAGATTTATAAGTTCCCGGTTTTGATCTTGCAACTGAGCCAAAAAGTCTGCCCTCTCTTCCACTAAACCCCGAGCTTGCATCTGCGCTTGTCGTTGTTTACGTTTCAATTCTCGCCCGACCACACTGAGCTTTTCCACCTGCGCTGTTAACTACACACATAACAATGAAATATTTATACATTGTGATAAGTACAAAGTTTATCATTTTTATAATATTATTTATATATATTAATTATAATCATATAGTATTTCAGAGAAAGTAAAAGTTTCATGACAAAGAATGAATTCTTCTTTAATTTATGCAGAACTGAATTGTATACAGATATAAGTACCAATTTACATTTTCAATTTCTGTAGTCTTCTGCGACAATTCTCGGTCTCTGGCACGAATCTGATCTCTTTGTTTGTCTATCATGGATCTCAAGTGCTGCAAAACAGCCACATCAACTTCCTGACTAGCTGTGAAAGCTGAAAAATAAATAAATGCAAACAATTATTTCACGAGTTTCTTAAACTTTGTCGGGGATATTTTAGCAATTGTTAGTAAGTGGATTAGTAGGTGGTTAATTGGTTAGTACTTGTTTGTTTACTGCTGTACTGACTATCACTACGCGATTCTTGCAAGGATTCAGCTAATCGTCTATTTTCTTCTTGCAATCTAGTAACCATGGCTACTAAATCACGGGACTCTTGCCTCCAGTGTTCTTCGATTTGTTCCAGTTCCTAAAGAAATCATACAGACTTACTGAGTCAGTCAATTAATTGTAACTGGTAACTAAATATACTGTCAACCGAGTACATGCATTGTCATTTATATTAAGATTAATGTTATGAGACATAATGTCAGAAGTGCAAACAACTCTATTGAGGACCGTCTACAATATCTGTAAAGTAAGCAGTAAGACATGAGCTAATTGACCAATCAACCACAGTCGATTTATTTTTGGATGTAAAAGTGATAGCCAAACATGTTAATTATTTTCTTTTAGTTTTTCTCCGTATTTCTAGAGAAATTCGTTCAAAATAAGCTTTTCAATGAGGATATGGAACACTAAGCCTGTAAAGCTTGGTCTACAATGTGCTCTTTGCATCTTGTTTCTTGCTATCTCTTTTCCATAAGTAAATAGAGGTTCTTGCAGAAAAAAGATAGCAAGAAACAAGACGCGAAGAGCACATTGTAGACTAAATTTTAGGACTATGGCACATACAAAAACGCAAACGAAAACATGCAAGCAGCAATTGACCAATCACAATCGACTATTCTCTTTATGGTCAAAGAATAACAGATTGTGGTCGATCAATTTGTTATGTTATTGCTTATGTTTTTGTGTGCTATGATCCTAAGAATCTAATTGGCCAATTAGCTTACGTGGTTGCTGCATATTTTACAGCTACCATAGACAGACACCCTCACCTTTTCAAAACGATGCCTGTCCTCTGCCTTCCCAATCTTGTCGCTCTCCAGCTGAGAGATCTTGGCGTTCAGTTCTTGCACCATAGTATTCTCGCGTTCATTTTTGGTAGCAAGATTTTCAAGCAATTCTAAAGAGTTTATCACCTTTGGCATAAGATTGGTCACGGATTCCACTCCGAACAGGTCTATCAGTTTCTCACATTCCTTCCCTATCTCCGACGCGATGTCGTATACATCCACCACCGACACATCGGACGCAACAGAATATTCTTCCATTTTGCAAGTAGCGTTATTTCTCAGACAAAAAGGCATGAATACAACTTATGATGCAACACGCACTACGCATAGATTCAACGCTGCGGAAAAGAAGTCTCGTGAGGGTGTTTCTCGCTGGAATTTCGAGTACAAGTTAAATTCAGATTCTAAGGTGGTCCGAGTGTGCTTGTATTTGTAAGATTCACTGTGAGAAGAAGAGAAAAAAAACTGTGTATACGTACGAGACGAAATTCGTAAATGTCACTGCCAGTTACACGGAATCTTCGTGCACCTCACACATACACACACACCGTACATTAAAGAAGGAGTACTTTCATAGACGTGTGGCTAAAACGTACGCCGGAATTTATGGTAAATAATACGCGTAATTTAGGTGTGGCGATAATTGTCAAAATAATAGCCTGTTCCGTGAACATGCGGCGAGCCTTATTATGCGTCATGCACTTGTCGTTCTAAATCGAATACCAGCTCGAAAGGTGCAACACGCTTCGGTGATATCATAGCAAGTTCCATCAAAACGTCATGTTTAAATCCAATCGCATACAACGAGGTCGCAGCGGAGCAGATGATTGAAATTATTCCCACTGTATGCGCGCGTGTGTGTGTGTGTGTGTCGCGCGCGCGCGCGCCTGGTGCACGCACGATGACAAATTCATTGAGCTCGCAAAGTGCCGAGAGGAACGCCTTCTCTCGGAGCTTCGTGAAACGTTAGAAACGTAGGAATGATTTATTCTATTAATGCACTCGTAATTTTAATCTGTGACAACATCGGGGAATAAATCGCAGCGGAATTTCTTCAAAAGAATTTTAATAGTCCAACGTTATCTTTTACTTGATACGTTTCTCACACAGGCAACACCTTGGAGAGAGGAAGAGAGAGAGAGAGAGAGAGATGTAACGATTTGAAAGAGGAAAGATGACGGCGCAGCTGTTGTCTTTATTTTGATAAGAAGTCTTAAAGCAGATGGACCGGGCTATACTTTTTATCGTTGTAAGCACGAATAGAAGACAATAATAGCTGAGTCATTACTCGATACGACGAAACGAGGAAATTCGAAGTATCTTAAGAGACTTCAAATGAGATCATACGCCGCATTTATTCAAATATCGTGCGAAAAACGTCTCCACATAACCTTAACGTTTTCGAGGGTTTAAAAGTAAGTACTGGGGAAAATTTTCGACATGACGAATGTATTTTAATCATGAATAAAGTAATGTTAAGTTCTTTAGGGAAGATGGGGAGAAGTTTTTACGATCGGCATGTGTCAACGGCACTACATGCAAGAGTCAATGTTCGGCAAGAATGGTAACCATAGAATTACGTATTGTTGGATCGTTACATGTGTCGGCCACGTAGTCAGCCATCAGTAATATCCGAACGATTCTGCAGGCACGAAGGGAATAGGAGGTCGCTATTTTTTTGAGAAATAACATTAATCATGAATGGAAAAGAAGATATGACAATTGCGATCATTCGAATGGGGAAACTTTTGGCGGGCGTTTCGAGCAAGATACGCGAGTCGGTAATTAGCCTTTGTCTAACGTGTAACCTACGTGGAAGCAGATCAATTTTCATTGTTCTTAAAAATATCACCACTTTGAACACTTTCGGTTTGACCAGAATTATTCGATTGAGAGAATTTGTCAATTATGTTCTAAAATATCTCTTTTTAAATCGTACCTGTCATTTTAGTTTTCGCTATTAAACTTCAATTGACCCCAGTAGTACGCCATTTTGAAAAACTGTGCGCCCGAAGTCGCTATATATAAAATGTCGATAAATAGTTGAACATTTTCTTTAACAATTAACGCAGATTGGAAAACACGGTGCTCAAAGTTCGCCTTTGGTTCAAGAAATTATCAACCGCATCGAGCTTTTCAGAAAGTCCATCATAGTCCGAATGAAAAAAACTCCAGATATCGAACGCATGCATGCTATCAATTTGCGCGATTGTCGTACGACCATAACGGAAACTTTGTCAGAGCTCGAAGGTAAATTTAATTGTGTAATAATTAATTAATAATATTTTCTTGGGTAGAATTATGTATTGACTTATTATATATAATGTCGTAAAGTAATCATTAATTGATAGTATTGCAGAATACGTCCGTGGAACAAAAATCGAATTTTGAAATTTTCCTAAGGGACGTCACGATCCACATAAACAACGAGGAAAAGTTAATGAGAAGTATCAAGGAAACATCGGAAGTGGACATACCGAAAGAAATGTGTGTTCGAAGAATTATGAAACTCTTAGTAAAAAGTATTATTGCGGTTATATGAATTGGAGGCAAATCTTATATAATTCGATAACAATTTCTACAATTCTTAGAGAGGATTCGATGTTGACGATACTGAATGTAAGAGAACAAGGAGAAGCACGGAAGAAATTGCTACAATCGGAAATAGACTCGGCAGAGCGGAGATTGCATAATATCATGGAATTTAATGCCACAACTGAGAAGATACTTCTTGACAACTGGTAAATGCAATATGATCTTCAGTAATCACGCGACATATAATATTATTCGTTGAATATAGGTATTTTACCAATTATTTCCATGTTTTAGCGCTGAAGTAGAACAGAAACTTACAGATCTTCTTGCTAAATACGATCATGACATTGGAACATGTCATACTTTGATGGAAAAGTTGACCAAAGAGAAGGAGCTTCTTAATGCAGAAAAAAAAGATATGGAGGTGATCCGTAACATTTTTCATTTCAAATGAAAAACCCTAGGTATGCGATCTCGCCGAACTAATATTATCTTATCCATCAGGACCAATTAGTCGTGCAACGGGCGCTGTATACTCAGTTGAAGAAAGAGCGAGAAATCACTCTGATGAAGGCCTTCACGAAAAAATTGGAGCTCTTCAAGCGAAATCGAGCTGCTAAGACTATTCAAAAGGCATGGAGAGCTTATTTTGAACGTATTTCTCAAAGAAGACGGAGAAAAGCTAGAAGAAAATAATCGGTTTACACAATTGGCCACCACTTTTACATGGGTTGAACAAAGGTACAATATATTTGTCAATTTACTTCCCTCGTGAGAAAAAGCAAAGACATAGTGTAAGAAAGTTCCACATTCTTCTGGGTTTTGAAATACAAAATCTGTTATTTTCGCTATTAATAATCCGGATTAAGGAACAAGGCAGATACGTGTGATTATGTTTATGCTTTTATTCGCTAAGCTGACAAAGCATGGCAACTCCCCTTATAATCCAGTGTTTGGGCGGCATTATCGTAGGCAACCATATGGCTATGACGAAGTTAGTGGAGTGACCAGTAGTGGATAATACCCCACGACGTTCGCTGGTTTTGTACAACGGGCAAACGTACAAGCGCCTTTCACTGATATCTTGTATCTTCGACGGTATCAGCTGTATCTGAAAATCGTCGTACTGTAAGTTTTATAAGCTATGATAATTAAACAGGAGCCAGAATTTTGTCGGCAACATCTCAGTAAGGTTGTATAATATATATCGGGAGGGAGACAAGGTATAGCAAAAATAATATAACTTTGTTTTATCTCGATGTTTTTGAATCCCAAATAGATTTATAAATATTTAAGTTGATGTCATCACTGATTGATCAGAGAGGAGATGCTTTGTTGGCTTATACAACCTTTTTGAGGAGCGAGACCACTTACATAAGGCACCTGGTCGTAGAGCACTTTGGGAAAGCTCTCCTCTACATTCATATTCTCCATATCGAATCGCGCGCCGTCCAAAAATAGACCGTAAATATAGACACCGTCCTCGGGGGCAAACTCGAAGACCGTCTCTTTCATGATTACGAAGTCAAACGCGAGCAGATCTATTGGGATCTGATATTTTCGCGCGTAATTTTGCCGTATCCCGGTCAGGAACGCCTGTGTGAAGTAAAATCCCGGTAACCAGAACGTGATAGGCGGTCCTTCGTCGTACCATTTCTATGTGTAATAACAAGGCATAAATATCGCAAATGTTGAATCTGTAACAGCAAAGTACTGAACATCGCACGTAGGCGCAATTACCTGTATAAACATTAAACGTTGTAGAAAATCACTGATATAACTGCCCAAAGGTTTTAGGGACGGGTAAGAATTCTGTTTCCACAAAGCGGGTATCTTACTCGTTAAAATTGCCTCGTAAATGTCTTCAAGCTCGAAGGACATCACGATCACACCTACGAAGCATCGTGATCTTGAGATGTTTCATCAGAATTTTTATTCCAAGATTACTGAAATGCGTGCACATTACCTTTGATAGCTTTCTGTATATTAATGAGGCTGCCTCTGATACAGCGTAACAATTTGTTAAATCTGTCCATCTCTTGCACTAGCACGGTGTTCATGCTTTGACTGTATAACGTAGGGTATTTCACGAGTGCCGCGATCAGATCGTATTCATCCGGTAACTTCTCCAATATTTCGGCGGCGATGTTGTAAATCACATCGTCATCGGACGTTAGCCTCATACCGGATTTTACAGTTTCCTATAAAAAATAGAAAGTATTGAAAAGATATCCGTTTTTTTAAATCAATATTGTTCACATCTAGAGTAACTGCTCAGATATTCTATTCCAGATGATTTCAGCTAAGCTCACCTTGATCTTCCAAAGATCCTAAGAGTTCGAGCGAATAGAAAGAGACGATTAAACAAAGACATAAAATACATAATTAAATAAAAACTAACTATAGTGCGATCACAGACGTGAATTAAGATTTCGTTGTTCCTGTTGTGACATGATTATAATATCATGATAATATATTTATCATACCGTTCGATCCTGAACAACGTTCGATGAAATTAAAAGAGAAAAGGATGAATGTGCGAATGACTTGATATTGCTATCATCATCTCGTTTCGTAGAAAATTCAGACGAGGAATCACCTGAGTAAGCAGAAGCGAAGAGAATAGCAACTCTGTCTCCCGCTGATCCTTGAGAATATCGGCGTTCTCATTCATGCCGAATACACTCGGCGCTGTGATTATCGGAAGGTTCCTCGTGTACGTGAGAAACGCATCGTATTCGCGGACGATGGGGCAGTAATACATAGTGGACGACTCGTCGAAGTAGTATAACTGACTCTCCAACAGTTCTCTAGAGACGATGGCACACGATGAGTAACTTAGTGAAGGCAACTTCGTGAAGTTTTAGAATGGATTGAACTGAACAAGGTAGTCCAGTACCATTTTGCAAATAACGCGCAAAATTTGCACGCGTAAAAATAACTAATCGGCCGGCCGGTCGGAAATTGCACGGCCCGTTAACACTCACTGACAGTAGAATTTCTCCAGGATGGTGGTCAATGTCCTGCGATCCCACTCATCCGTGACTCTTCCTCCGTAATTGCACTCGCCCGTGAGGTACTTCAGAGCCTCGAACTGCACGTCCTCGTACTCGTCCAGGAACATTTTCAATTGCAGCACGCTGATCCTCAGGTCGGTCTCGTTGTACTCGTACGGGATGTTCCAGCCGATCGGGCCGAATTTGCGTCTCTCTTGCACGACGGCGTGGAAGAAGCACAACGAGTACATCAGCTTCTTGAAATAGTCAGTTTGAACGCAGCTCTCGAAGAATTCCGGATTGCTGATCGGGTCGCTCGCGTAGGATCTCAAGATGTTGGCACGGAGCCCCTTGGGCGGCTCGTTCGTCATCTTGATGCCGTTCTGGAGGACCGATATCGGGAAGTGTTCCGCCGGATAGCTGGTCAGCCAGAGCCGGAAGTCCGGGTGGATGGTGTCCGGTATCAGGCCCTCGCAGATCTTCTCCAAAGTCGGCATCCAGCTCTTAGCCAAGTGACAGTTTTGCAGCACCACCCAGTTACCGTACAACACGCCGTCCTTTATCAACCCTTCCGCTATTGGCCCTTGACCTGGGATGTCGCGCGGTTAATTGACGCGCGGATGTTCGTTCATCGCGTGCAACGCTTACCCTGGCCGAGGGATAAGTAGAAGAGACGATTGATGCCGTAGCCCTGCTCGTCGGCGAACACCATCAAGGTCTGCGCCGGATCGGTGCCGGGAGTCAAGATGAATATCAACGGAATACAGCAGTTGGAGTCCGCGTACGAGGATGACAAGTCGAAGGGTGGCGCCTCTACGAATTCCGCGCCCAGTTGTTCTGAAACACTCGGGTTAGTCGATGCTCCGTCGATTTACGTTTCTCCGTGATCGTTCCCGAGTAGCTCTACAAGTTTCGCTATCCGGAGCTGTTCTCTTATGTATTTTTATTACCTCCCACGAATGCTTGCACCGCAGATATGATTTTATCAGGCCGGATACATCGCAGTATCAGCATTCGTTCGAATGAATGTAGCTGGTCGTACGGCGCCGGTAGGGTTTCCTCCTGCGGTTCCTTCGAGTCAAACAGCCTCCTCCATTCGTCGAGGTTATTCGAAAACAACTCTCTAATACCCTGTAAGATTGACAGATGTGTACAGATAATTAATTGGTTTCTCTTCTATGAATATCGACTATAATCGGGCGCACACGTCCGAATTCACCTCGAATCCTGCGATATTGTCCAGTCTGCACAGTTCGTCCCATTGTTTGACGGGCAACCACTCTGTGGGATTAACGTACGGATTCTCCAAGCCTATCCCACCGGTTAACAGGAACAGCCACTGGCTCATGAATTCAGGCGTATCGCTCGTATCGCGCAGGTTGATAATGAGAAGCAACGCGAACAATAGTTTATCCTTTTCGAACAACGATCTGCAGATATTGCCGTAAAGGGAATACGTGAAGTATTTCGTCAAGTCTATCAAACGTTGCTCAACATTTTCGGCTGGCTCCGTATTTGTGATGGCCATATTGTAGAGATTCACAAACCAAACTAACGAGTACTGATACATCGGATCTATGTTGGCTAACGATGCTGCGATAAGAAAAACGTTGTTCACGTAAACTTAATACTAACTTTGTGTGTAAATGATGAATCTTTTTTTATGTATTGCTACATTCAGAGAGAGAGAGAGAGAGAAAAACGAGTTAACAGGCTAAATCTGATTAGCTAATTCGAACTCGGCTGTCACTGCTGAAAGGTTGTCTGTTAGAGACAAAATACTCAGAAAAGAAGTAAGTCTTAAATCAACGATAGATATTCCCACAAATAAGTAAGAATATTATAATATTCTTAGGAGATTTTTAGTCTCGAATTGAGTGCAAATAAGATTTGGGTCAAATTCAAATCAAGACTATAAATCTCCTAAGAATATTACAATATACTTGCTTATACTTGGGAATATCTAAAAGCAGACAGCTTATTCTCCCTCTGAGTGATCCAAGTGTTCGCGATACCTATCGTGAAGAAGAGTACGGTCGAGTAGACGGCGATGGGTTTGTACTGCAATCTCGCGACGTCAATCGACTTTTCGGTTATTTCCGTGGCCGCTTGCTTCACTTGAATGTCGTCGCTCAAGTTCTTAGACGACGTCAGAATGTCGATAGCCGCTTCGTTCTCCAGGAGATTACTTTCCGAGGAAAGCACTTCCAAGATCTTATCTTCCGTCTCCTTCAGCAACCTGCAATGTATCAGATTAGAAATAGCGTAGTTGAAGCTGTTGCATAATGCTGGGTGATCGAAGCTATAAATCGCACCGGTGGAGAACACACCTTTTGTTCGTTGCACTCTGCACGATTAGAACATTCTTCTCCGACTCCAGGTCGGGTCTTTCCCTCGCGACCACGATACCGAGTAGCTGGTCTTCCAAGCCACTTGGCGTTATCATAAAATTCAGCAGAGTCACCCTAACGGCTATTTCCGGCAGGTAATGAGGGTTCCTCAGCTTCGTCGTGATGTACAGCCTATCGATGCGTGATCATGGTCGTTACATTCCAATTACGATGCGCACGACAGTCCACTTTGCAGTCTCGCACGGCAATTAGGAAACTGATAGGAAAAGCGGGCGAAGCTTACCTAAAATTAGTATTGTATTCCACTATGGCGTCGCCCAATTTTATGCACATCGCACCGGCGTGCTTGAACGTCTGCTTGAGAAGTACCGGCTCGAGAATAGCGTCCAGTTCCTCCTCCACGTTTTCGAGCAGCACCGGTTGTCCGAACTGTAAAGCGTTCTCCAAGACCCTCACGTAATCTTGCTGGGTCAGCCGAATGATGCATAAACTGTTTTCCTTCTCCATATTTTTTATCCATATATTGGCCTGATTCTGCGGATCTATCATCAGCGGCCACCTCCTGGCGTTCCTGGAAAGGCAGGGTCGCCGATGATTACGACGATGATTCGGATGTTAATTGAACTTACACGACGATGATGCCGTTGTCAACGGAAAACGCGTCCGCGGGCAGGCCGGCGATGTTCCAGGACCGAATCAGAACTGGATCGCCGAGTATGTCGCGCAGTTGGAAATCTCGGGTGCAAACCACTTGCAGATTCGTGCACAAGTCGACCCACTCGCTTACCTGTTGCACGCGAAACGGCGTCGTGAACGGCCCCAGGTAAGCCACTATGCCGGAGGCGATTATTATGTCGCCCGTCAGTCGATAATATCTATGAGAAGGGATAGAGATGATGAGGTTCTACGATGACGAAAGAGCCGGTGCTGCAAGTAGGCACTTACTTTTCGCCCAAATCTTTGGCGGACTGAGACCAACGCGCGTACTCTCCACCCAATCCTCCGATGAGATCCTCGGCCCGCTTCAGCTTCAACTCGCAGTCCGCCACTTGTTCCGACATCGCTTGGAAGTCTGCTTTTCTTTGATTTAGAGTCTCTTGAAGGTCCAGTAATCTTTGCTAATCGCAAACAACATCGGTAACTGTATTTCAATCAACATTTTATGTCGATTTATTTACCTCGATTATGTTTTATCATACGGGAAGAATTTTGCGTATTTCGATAGGAATGATCGATCTCGATTTCTTCGAACTGCCGAGTTTTACTTTGCGCCCGGGATTGTACGTTTCATTTATTGTTGTTCTGGAAGTGACCCAGACAGCACGAAAACTGGGACATACGACGTCTGCAAGACGTCTTATGTCCCTGCGTTAGGTTCTGTGCTGGTCTTGCATACCTCCACTTGGAGCAATTGTTTTCTCTTTAAGTCCAACTTCTCCATGGCCAATTGATAGGCTTGCTCGGCCTGCGCCTGGGCTCGTCTTTTAGGAGCGACGATTTTCGCGATTTCGTCATACTCGGACATCGCGATGACCCAGCGGCACAGACCCTCGCAAGCCGTCGAGACTTTCTTCATCTTCTCCGGATCGAAGTCCGGATTGGTCAGGTAATCCTTCCGTATCTTGGCTATCACTTCTTCCGGTATGTTGTCCTTGTCGAAATGAAGCAGCGAGTCTAAGAATTTGACATCGCTGAGAACTTTCAGGGCAACCTTCCAGTAATCCTCTGTCCTTTCCGGCCTTACTTGCTGCAGCAATACATTAAGATTAAATGTCAACAATGGTGTGTAATATATATTTTTCTCGCGCTCACGACGAAACGTGGTGTTTGAATCTCGTACCTTGAGGACGCAAACGCTCTCTACTACGAGCCTCACGGCGGGCGGCGGATATTTCATCGCTTTAACCACCGCGATATCCGCCGTTGTCAGCGTGTCCAGCGCAGCTTGCGCGCGCATCAAAATCGGCATGGCTTCGGCCAAATTAGCATCGCATTCGGCCCTTATCGCAGCTGCTTCGTTCGCTACTTCCTGCGGAACGATTACTGTGTATGAATACAAGAAATGTTTTCTTACAGATAGAAGAAGAGGAAGGGAACAGGAGTTTTAACGCATTCACTGTCGGACATCGATTTTTCACCTGAAACTATTTCCCGTGCGTGTTGATAAATAAATTTCGACGCTTCTGTGTCCTCACATCTGATAACGTCAGCAAAATTTACACGTAAATTAGAATTGTACGTTCTTACTTGCGCCGCGATTTCATCGACTTTCACCACTTTCTCGAATTCCGCCACTTCCTGACTCTCTTTCTCAACATCGGCGAGCATCCTCTGAACGTCTTGCGTGGCCGCGACCAATTGCGGCTGCAATTGCATCAACATGTTCTGCATCTCCGTCACTTGATGCTGCGTGCCATCCAGTTGTCCCAGTCCGCCTTCGTATCGAGCTTTGGCATGCAATACATCACTAGAGAGACAACACATCAACGTTGAAACAGGGAGAGCTGTTAAGCTTCAAATCTTCCAAATAGAAAGATTTGAAGGTCGATCGAGTCATGTTCACCTGCGTTTCTTCTCGAGCAACGTCTGAAAGGTGTTGATCATCTCGAGGTAAGAAGTCGGCGTTACGTAATTGTACCGGTTCAGGCGAATCAAAAATTCCTCGCTCATTTTCTGAGTGGACATATGAAAGTACTGGCACATGTCGATACAGGCGCCCCTCTCATCCTCGGTGAGCTCGATGGCGGATAAGAATTTCGTCGCGACAGCTAACAAAGCGTCTTCCGGCCACGGCTTGAGCACAACAAAATCATAACGTTATCATCGCGTCCGAATCTTCAGCCGAGAAATACAGCACGATAGAAGATTGGAACGTTTTCCAAAACCTGAAGCCAGTCTATGGTGCAACAGTTGACTAAAGCCGGGAATTTCCTAATGCGATTTCTGAAGGCGTCGCCGATGGGAGACATGGTGACAACAATGTGCAGCTGATCGCGAATGAATTGAACAAACAAGTTGAAAAGCGCCGCCGGGCTACCGTCCGTCTGCAACGATCGCTCTCGTTGCCGGTCGATCTGCTTCATTTTCTCGCATATCTCAACCTTCTCTTCGCCCGTGAATATATTGGGTACCTGAAGCAGGAGGAAAATAATGAAAATAGGAGGATAAAAAAAGAAAAGAATGGATAAATAAGACGAAACGGAGAAAAGGAAAAGTATCTGTTTTTTTGGCTGAACTCATCTAATAACATAAAGCAAGAGGATCTGATCTGGCAGAACGTGATGACAAACTGACGGCGGAGATCGAGCAGGATCTCAGTCATTCCAATGTATCTGAATGAAATATGCTGCAAATCCTGCTCGCTTTCTGCCGCCGGTCTGCGCGCGTTTCACTCACTTCGCCTGTATTCAGCATATTACTGATGTCTTCCAAGAAATTCTCCTCTTTGATCTGCGTGTCACTAAAGAGGAAGGTTGAATGTAAATCGCTGACGGTGGCTTTCCTCATAATATCTTTGATGTCCTCGTGCCAGTCGTAGGTGCTATATTGCTGAGCAATTTCGATTTGGTGCACATCGTAGTCACAGATGTGCGACGCTAATCTAGTCAAGGATTGCCTGCCGGAACCACCGATTCCGACGAGGAGAGCGTGACTTCGTGGCTGCTTGATGATACGAGCGATCTTCGACAGATGCTCAATCGCGAACCTTCGCGTTATCTTGATTTTAGTATAAAACAAGGCATGATGATCGCCAACCCGGGAAAACTTTTCCGTACATAATTAAATATAATTATATATAATTATAACAAGGCGTCATTTGTGTATGTATATGCACATACAATCATATACAATTATATACTTTTATATATGTATGGACGTATATATAATTATATATGAGAAATTTTTTCCCCCAGAAAAGTAATGCACAAGACAAAATTTTACCGGAACAAAACCAAATTCATGGGCTTCTTCGTCATCGAATTGTACTCGTTAAGATACGTCTCCACGATATCCCGCAGTTGATCGAGATCACTGACTTCTTGGTACAGGCGGACGTCTAACTTGACATCAATGAAGTCGCAATATACTAAGTTTCGCAGTTCGTCCACAGTAATCTACGGAAAGTGCTCGGAAATAAGTGAGTACAAGCGCAACCTTGTTCTATATTAGCGGGCCGAGAAAGAGCATACCCTCGTACGCTTCTTAGGCAGCAAATCCTCGAAGAGCTCCTCGATCGAGATCTCCATGTATTCTTTCAGCGTATTAGCTATTTGCTTCACCAGCCACTTTATATCCGTCTCGTCGATCAAACGATCTCCGAATACCCGAAGTATCTCGTGAACCCACAATCGCTTCATATTCGAGAGTGCCGGCATCGTCTCCGGGACTGATAAAAGCACTCCCTGTGTGACGATCGATTACGGAGAAACTCCTTGACAGTGGATAATGTAAAATATAAACAGAGTAATATGAAGGAAATACCTGGATCACTCTAGAGAAATCTCGGAGATTGAACTTATAATGACTCTTCGTGGGAGTTGGCAGCAGATTGCACAGGCTCTTCTTATAAATGTCCAATGTTGCGAGGACAATCTGATCGATGCACGGATCAAAATCTTTACTGAAACCCCTAGCGTACGATACATGAATGCAGAAGAAACACTCTTCCGAACTTTCATCAGGTAACACACACGATCTCGAAGCAGATTTCAGGTATTTCGAATATCTTTTCCCGAATAAATTCGGAACCAACGAACCTTGTATCGAGATGCCACAGAACGATCCTGCTGAATATCGTGATCATAACGTCGTCTTCGAATTCCGATATCGCCAGGGTGAAGAAGTGCCGCTTGAATCGCGGCGTGACGTCCTTGCCACCGGCGATCGGCGGTGCCATGGCGCACATTAATTGTATCTCGATTAACTTGATCATCGTTCCTTCTTTTCTATCGTACCTGTGAGAAAGGGGGATTTTTATCGTGTCGTAAGTAAGTAAAGCGATCTTTTACCATTGCCAGTGATCCAGCCATTGTCGTAATAATTCGATCGGCGGTTGCGCCCCGTACGTTTCCTTCATCGGCATCGAGACGTCGTCGACGAAGATGATCCAGCGTTTACCTATGGGCGGTCCAAACACGCCTTTGCGTCTACGATCTAACTTGTTCATGATAATGTCTTGGGTTTGGTTGGCGGTGGTCTGCGCGGAGAAATTGATCAGCAGCGGCTTGTTCACCGCCGCGTTATTCTTCTTTAGCAGAAAGTCGATTATGTACACGGATTTCCCAGTGCCGGTAGGGCCCACGAAGAGCACCGGCTTCTCGTGTTGGACCAGCATCTGGAAAAGCGTCGTGTACCGTATTGTTTCCACGGTCGGCACGATTATCTGATTCACGGGGATGTCGCGCGGTATCGGCGGTACGTTTATCAGTTCGTCGGACCATAATTTCCACTTTCCCTTGCCCTGAAAAAAAGAAAATAGTACAGATTTGATGCTTACGATGAACTTATCATATACCTGTGGATATAGAAATTTATGAAAAATACTCGAAACAAATATAACATTTACTTGCAATGCAATACGTATTTTTCTGTGTGTCAATATATATTTCTGTTGTGTCGTGAGTAAAATGTTTGAAACATTCGCGTTATCTAGATAAAAATACTGGACAAGTGAATTGTGTCGCAAACGTAAGCTTTCACCTGCCTCCTTAAAAAATCTATAATCGAACACCAAGTGATGCTTCGGCATGATGAAAATGTATGGCTTCAGAGGCGCTGGTACGGATTCTCTCAATTGGAATTCGTTCATCAGAGTGACTGGAAATTCTTTCTCGAGGAGACCGCGGAACATGATGCTAAATTGTTCTCGATACTTGGCCTCCAGAGTGCCTCCCATCGCCCAGATACACGAGAAAAAGAACGAGCCCTGAATACGCATTGGAAGTTAGCTCACCGTACATAATATTTCGTCGATAATTCAGCTCATCGAGAGCTCCGACCTCTATCTGTGCTCGAAGATCGAGCTCGCTTATCTTCTTCGCGGCTTCTTCATCATAATAATCGTCCATGAAACAGTCCATTAGATAAGTGACGGATCGTACGAGGTTCGAGTCTGGCATCGGGCACAATTCCTGCGGGAAAATACAAGCGAGACTTGTAACAGCAGTCGATGTTCAGATCACGACAGATCTCTCACCTTTACGTTGCACCGACGCAACAGGTGGAAAAGTGGTTTGCAAAATCGGAGGAACAGCGACTCGTACAGGAAAGTTCGCAGCCACTCGTCCACCACTTCCGGCAGTGTCACTATCCAGGATTTTAACAGGGGCTCCCATCCCAATGACGTAGGCTCCATATAAATCATCCCTGCTCCCAAGAATTTATTGAGGCCCCTCCAACGTCTGCGCTCGCTTGTTACATCGAATTAAAACTTCACTTTACCGCAGCGAGACACCGTAGCTGGCGAGGCGGCTTCCAGGTCCATCGGCTCGAAGATCAAGTTGGTCGTCGGGGCCAGCTGGATGATCTCGCCGCTCATCAAGCAGAGCTTCTTGTTGTCGTCGAGGACAGTGTTCATGCTCTCTATCCATACCGCGTCAATCGGACCGTCGAAGATCAGCCACTTCCGGTTCTCGTTTGTCGACGTCGCGAAGGCTCGATAGCTAACAGCCAGGATACCGTCCTGCCATTCGTGAGACGCCGGATCGAACTGCCCGTACAATTGCCCGAGCGTTATCGCCTTCGGGTTCATGATCGTCATTTCCACCTTGTGCTCGTCCATCAAATTCTAGTCAAGAAACGATCGGCCTTTAATTTCGCTCACCCATCTTCAGGAAATCACTCACTTTTTCCTCGCAAATCTCCAGCGCGTCGGCCAGCATCTTGTAGGCCGTGGTTTTGCCGCCGAACGGATACCCGACGATCATGAATCCATGCCTGACCAACATCATCTCGTAGATCTGTTGAATCTTCTCGAGGAATACGGGGATGCACTGGACGTTTGCAGCGGCACAGGCTTGGTACGCGCTCTCGTTTAAGTACTTGTAGTCAGGCTCCGGCAGCACCACGTTCGGAAACAGGTCCGACGTGATACCCTGAAACACGAAAGCACCGTTCGACGATTTCTCTTTTCATTCGCTCGCTTGAACGAGGAAACACTTGCGCGGAACAACGGTAGATCTTCATTGAGGAACTTGGGCAGGTTCACATCGGTGATGCTGCGCAAGATCAAAATGTCCTCGTTTTCTTCCGGATATTTCAACTTCAGGTTACCCGCCGCTATCAGGACGGATTTCACCGCTCGCATGCCGTAGTCGTAATGATTCTGGCTGGACAGTTGCTCCGAGCATAGCTTGTAAGCCATGACTATCTTCACCGATAAGGGCCTCGCGTTGTAGAATCCGTACGAATATAGCGTGTTCTCCGCTATCAAAGCGTAATCCGGTACCTGTCGAGTGTGCGAATAAGACGTGCCCGGAGGAAAAAATGATTATGATATATAATTGTATAAAATCACATATGAATTTTGTCCATATATATGGTTATATATATGATCATACATGTCTCTGTGAAAAAAAATGATATGTCATTTAATTAAACGTCAATGTCATGTGCTGTCGGGAACACAAGTAGTCAGAAGCACTTACTTCGATTGTATTTGCCTATAATTTGTAAGCAACAGTATTTTTTCGTCGCGGACATATATGATTATATATAGTCATATATGGGCAAATTTCATATATGATCCTTTTTCTCCCGGATGAGAATAGAGAAACATATACGAGGTGACGTAGAAAAGAATATTCAGCGTCTTCTTGAGGAATCTCACCATCATAGCTACCGGTCGAAACAGAGCTTTCAGATTATCCGGCAGTTCCGATCTGCCAGCGTATCCCGGATTCATCGTGATAAATACCGCGCACGTGCGATCCAGTTTCAGTTCCGTGTCCTCGAAAATAAGAGTCTTCTGCGCCGCGTTTATGGCACGTTGAATGGTTAAGATTTGCTGTGCTACGACCGACAGGACCTCCAGGTCGATGCGGTTGAATTCGTCAAAGCAAGACCACGCACCCGTGCTTGCTAAGCCCTGGAATATATCGTTGTCCGTACGTGAATTTAAAACTACACAATTCGCATGATGATAAACCACTACCTTGAATATAATAAATTCAAATAGATATACGTAATGCTTCGATGTTCGCTCGTCATAGAAGCGATCTGTCATTCGTTCATCCAGATCGCTTGTATAAGTAAAAACTTACATTTTATTTTTAAACCAACATCCATTATTCAATATCCATAGATTAACTAAATATTACTCGACCGAAATAAAATTTTATGGTTTTTCTACTAAAAGTTTTTATTCCATTCTAAAAATCTGCTGAGGAATATTGAAATCATCATTTACTTGGACATAGCACTTCTTTCTGTATACAGATATTAGCTTTAACCCTATTTATTAATTAATTCTATCGATCTACTTTCGTATCGGTGAATTGATTTGCGTACCTTGAAAAATTTACCCAGAGCGAGGTAGTCCAATCCCTCCGAGCAGTTGAACACGACGCATTGCTTGGCGACCGCCTTTGCCAGATCCTTGGTAGTTTCCGTTTTACCTGTCCCGGCGGGTCCTTCCGGTGCTCCACCAAGGTGTAAGCTGAGAGCACCGAACAAGGTGCGATAGCATCGGTCGGTGAGCGGCGTGATTACTAACCGCGACGTATTACCCAAGTATTCATACGCATAGCCTAGCATGGAATTTATCATCATCGTCAATAGATCGTCGTCCTGCGGCGGGGAAAAAGGAAATTCTTCAGTGACAGCGGAGAAATCGACATCGTGACGGGATTAAAACGCGCCGTTGCATTTGAACGCACCCACCATCCAGTAATACCTCAGTTGGCAAAGCCACCTGAAATCCGACGCTTGAGTCACACCTTGATCGGATATGTGCGCCAACACGTCGCGGCTGTGAACGTCCAACGTCACTAGAGCTTCTACAAATAAAAGAAAGGTAAAAAGTAGAAGTGTGATTTCTAGGTAGCTGTAAATGTTCAATGCAGATGGATGTGATTGATTGAATTCTCCGATTATTCGCTCGACCGGAACGTTTACTACCTAGAGTCGTTCGGTTCTGCTTCGATAATTTGCCGCGAACGAGCTTGACGATCTCGTTGAGCTCGTACGTGCACGTTTCTACATAGGCCTTTAAACTTTCGACACCCTCCGGGAATTTAATGGTAATCTGTGCCGTCCAGTACATCTTGCTGATGCAGAGAATTGTCTGGCCAGGCCAATCTAAAGCCCATTGACTTCTGGCTTTAGTCGGGAAAGCGTCTTTGGCGTGTATCACCTGAAGAAGGATAAGAAAAGTCAACGTATCGATATAATGATCGGCGTCAATCTCAAGTTTTATCTTTTGTCTTAGTTGTACAGATAGGGAGACCGTAGACCTGAGCTTTCACGCTTTTCTTCATGTCGATCTCGAGCTCGAGAAGCCACTTCTCTACCTGTCCTCGCGCGGCAGACGTGTCGATTATATCCTCGAGAATAATCTCCTCCCCTTCGGATGATATCATAGCTGTAGCCTCCATGTCATCGGTGAAGGTTAATCTCGCGATACCCTCGAAGCACTTTTTCAGATGCGGCTGCACCCTGATGACAAAAATCAAATAGAATTAATATTTCGCGCTACGAAGTGTCCGTTGACGATTAGCCTGTGACATGTAGATCAAAGGTACCGCGTCGGGTCCTTCGTCTCGGACAATATCTCCAGGAGTTCGTCGTTGGAGAGGAAGAAGAAACGCGGGAAGTAGAGTCTCTTCTTCTCCAAGTATGCGGCCAGTCCTTTCTGCACCAAGTCCAGCAGGCTGGTGCATTTCTTCAAGCGTTCCAGCATCTTCTCGATCTCGACGACGAACATGACCAGTGGGTTGACTGCGACGACCGTCATAATCTCTCGCCAGATCTGTTTCACATATTATGCACTTTAAATTTTACTCGCATATATTCTTGCTTATATATGAGAATGTGAATGGCACTAATTCATTTTCCGTGTACAATTGACGGTTTAGCTTGTCTTCGGAATGATAACGAACTTTGTCCACGGCGCTGAATCGTCGACTCTCCTCCGGCATCTGTTGCTGGATGTCGGGTGACGAGAAGATCGGCTCGAGATACATCCACGTTCCCTGAACTTTCAGCCAGTAATCCATGATGTCTTGCAGCAAGAGCAGCTTAGCCTCCCATTCCCTGATGGAACCACAGTCAACCTTACGGAGCTTATCTCGGTGTTGAAAAAATCGTCGAAAAGACGTCGATCGAAAGTTCCTCGTTTGAAAAATCACCGAAATTCGGTCAACTCACAGAGTCTCCTTCTCGAACGGCTTGATGTAGAGAGAATTCTTCATGGTCTGCGTTTTCATCAGGTGGTCGTCGAGCAACATCTGTATGTCGTCCACGCTGGCGATGACGTACGTGCCCGTGTCGCGATACGGATTGACGGTGAACGCGATATCCGTCCAATCGGAGTACATTCTGTGCAACGCTCTCTCCAGATTGCCTTCTTTGCTAGCTGCTTCGGAGATACCCTCGAATTTCGCTACATAATCACCCAGGCAGTAGTCGAGGATCTGCAGGCGTAAGTAAATGCGATTATTACGGGGCACAGGTTCGGATCGGTTAGTTTCGCGTTACCTTGGCCAACGTCATGTATTGATCCACTATTATGGGAAACCCGACAATCTCCGAGATTTGCTCCCAATGGCGACTTTTCAGGTGGGGATTGCCAAGGGTCAATATCACCGGCATGTGCTCTTTGAACTCCTCGATATTCGTCCTCACGACCTCCGCCAGCTTCCTCACCGCGGGCTCCTGGAAAGCCTTCTCCAGCTTGTACACGATGCGATACGCATTACTGGTCTCGATATCGATCACTTCGGGATCATGCGAGCCCACAACGGCTTCCGTCCACATCTCGTAGTTGCTCATGAACTCGCAGGCGGTGTCGTAGAGTCTCTTGAAGGGTAGCAATTTATCGGCTACCTGTAACCAATGGTACCAGATGAGAAGTTTAAACGGAATATTGGCGAAAACAAGACTGCCGTCCCTCGTCTTTACCTTCTTCCTCAAAGGATACTGCGATAACTCCCAGCCGAACAATTTCTCCTCATCGTTAAATTCGTCGATCGTGTCCATCGCGGCGATTAACTTGTTATCGAGGCTCGTGGCTTTCTTCTTGTACCGTTGTATCTCCTCGATGTTGCCCCAGTGTTGCAATTCGTCGCAGTACTTCGCATAAATCTCGAGGTCCTGCTTGAATTTCTCGATTCTGACCTTGAGTAACATTTGGTACTCTTCTGATTTACTCGCGAATATCTCCCGGTACTGCTCAAAGATACTGGGCATTTGAAAGGGCCTGAAACGTCAAAATATGAACATTAATTAAAGAATATAAAGATATTATCTATTAACTATTTATCTCTATAACTCGAAAACTAAGCTTCGGATAACATTTTGCAAGAGGAAAAATCGTTTTAGAATTCGCCCGAGAATATGACATGTCAAGGACAGGAAGGTTGTTCCGAATCACTTCACATGTACAAATGTATACAAATGTTTTAACCAACACTATTCGCTTATGTTTCACGTTGATTCTACCGCAAATTAGATCACACACTGAGACCACTCACCAGTGAAAAGCGAAATTATTCGTCTTTATCTCGACCGGTGTCAAATGTACGTAATCCGACAAAAATAATATATACTTCATCGCCTCCCTCAGCTGGCTCTCCAATTCGTAAATAGTCTTGGTCTCAGATTTATGTATAAATTTCTGGAGTTTCATGAGTTCTAATGTGTTGAGTGGCGTACTTAACGCCTGGTCCGCGATATTCTGATACTCATCCCCTATGCTGACGATTACGTGAGACCATTAAATTAAATTTGCTTAAAGGTATTAGAGAAAGTTCACCGTAACAATGAAGATATATACATAATCAGAATATATATTTGAACAACGTGACGACGGCTGGACTTACGCCCGAACTATTTGCTGATAATCGGCGATCATCTTTGAAATTAAATCGTCTTTGAGGTGAGCAGCTGTGGTAGCAATATGTTGTATAATATGTTGCCGACGAACTATGAAGAGGTCGGTGAAAACCGTTCTGTGAAACTCCAGCGGGACATTCTTGCTCAGTTGATCGTAATAATCAATGAGTTCGCAGTATTTCTCAAAGGGATTAGGCGGCTGGGCTTTCAAAAAGTTCTGAACGTAATTAGCGTCCTCGTTTCTTATCAATTTCAGATACTTATCGAACTCACGCAGCTGCGACTCCGTGTCGGTTTTGTAGCGTTCGATTAAATTCGATATGGTGTTCGTGTGCCGCTCAAGAAGGTCCAAAGAAATCGTCGGCTGGGCGATCGGAGACAGGTAGAAATATAATCATCACTATATTCTGACGTGAGAACGATCAGATAATGTCGAACACGACTGAATATCGCACGGAATACGCACCTTGAGCAGTTCGGCCGAACGAACGTCGGGCTGAACTCCAGGAATCATCTCCGGTTTTACCTCCGCGCGTTGTAACGTAGTTACAGAATCGTAGAGAGAATTCAGTAGCATCGAGAGCGTAGTCACGAACGCTTGGAACGTCGGCTCAAATGTGACGAACATGTTCTTCACCACGACATCGATGTTAAAGCCACAATTTGTGCGCTAATTGAGAAGTGATTACATTCAATACACGTAACCGCGAAATACCGATGGGGATATGTCAACAATCGTGCAATCGAATCTCCGTTTGCGCAAAATATCAACTTACACCCACGTCCGTGAGGTAATCGATGTAATCCTCTATCGAACGCAAACACAAGTCCCGCAATTGATTCTCCATGACATAAGCGAGGCAATTGAAGAATCTCTTGTATCGGACATCGGTTGTTGCTGGTAAACTTTTCTTCTTCGATGCCTGGTATGAATAAAACATTCGAAAAATTCGACTCGGCACGTGGCGCAATTTTGATCAGTAACGCTAACGCTTCTTACCGCTGCTAAAATATCGCAGATCTTTGACAGCCACTGATGGAGAACCTTGTCATTCGTGCTTTTGAGCATCTTCGAAAATTTATAGGCGAAATTCGAAAGATCGTACGACTGTCCGAACGACGCCAGCTCTAGCTTATCCACTTGCTTGATGTCTCTGTGATTTAAGGAAAAATATTTTTCAGTCTGCGGCTGTTTGATCCGATACTGTATCGATATACAGTCAGCCCTCGACATACGTAGATCTGACATACGTGAACCCGCAGAAAATTTCTGACCTAAAATTTAACACTAGGGATCGAAGCAGCTATACGAGACCAGTATTACTACTAATATAAAAATATCGTATACTTGCCATCCAAGAATAATTTTTATGGATTGAGAAAAAAAGATATTGGATAGAAAAAAGCAATATCTTCAAACTGGTACAACTCTTTGTTTCAAGATATCATTCTTTCTCTACTCAGTATTTTTTTCTTCTCGATTCGTAAAAATTATTGTCGAAAAAACATGAATATGTATTTTAATGGAATTATGTAGAATTTCTTCGCGTATAACAGCAAGTTTTATCTGCATATAAGATTACATGTTTTTGCTCATACATGAAAACATGGGTCTTGAATCGATACTAATGTTTTTTTCTGTGCAGTAGCGACGTAAGATTTACATATTTTGCCTCATGTTTATGCCATACACAATGTGTATAGGGTAGATCTGATATAAATAGGTTTTGATTTACGTGGGGTTTTATGGAATCATCCGCCTACGTAAATCGAGATCTGGCTGTGTATGTACGTACAAGTGTGTCGCGTTATTCACTAACCCGTACTCGCGATACCAATAATCCAAGATCTTGCGTATGCATGGGTGGTACAGGATAATCGATCTCTTCTCTAGCGTCGCTCTCATCCTGCGATATTTATCACTGACCTCCGGTGAGAACGGCTCGGCAATTCTTTGCGAGATCGTCGGCTGAAACAGGCACGACAAATAAAATCGTGAAAGTGATCACAACATTCCGGATGTTAATATATAGCCGGATATAGCCGACGCGCTGATATTACGTATTATTATGCACGCGGTGTACTAACCGGGGCGCAGAGTGCGTGGGCCTCTTCGAAGGGCTCCTGGAGCGTGAAATCGACGATGGACTTTTTCATGCTCATAACGTAGTCATGTTTTATTTCCTGAATCAATCGAGCTAGGCACTCGCCGTGCCTCTTTTGCCATTCAACGGCCACTGTGGCCCTTATCTTCTTCAACGTGTCAGAATCTAAGGTGCCCGCATGAGTATCATCGACGTCGTGAAGAATGTAGTGATAATATCTCAAGAGATTTTTGTCTTCTCTTGTGAGCCATCTGTCGATCACATCCTCGTCTTCTGAAATCCGTCTTTCTGCATCGTCGATGTACATTTCCGCCTCCAATCCTATGATCCTTCTGATCAAATGTATTCGAAAATTCATCCTCTGCTGAAGCACTGACGCATAATAACCGTCTTCTGCGATCTTATCTCTTTTCTTTGCTGCCGCGATACTCCTTTAAGTTTAGAGTTTACTTTTAGAAATATAATTTTTATATAAATAGAATAAATGTATTAAATTATATTAACAGATGACAAAATAGAACAGCGTAGTATAAGTTGCAAAAAATGATATTTTTCTTATAGCTGGCTGCTGACCTCAATAAAGTTTCGTCTTCTCGTGGAAAATCGAAGATACATGATTTATCCGTAAGGCAATCTCTAGAAGTTTCCCGATGTACGTCGTCATCTTTTAAAAACTTTGGACAGTACGTAACAGAATTATGTCTCATCCAATCGTAATGTTTTTTACGAGATTTTCTATGTGGTTGTTCGAATTCGTCGTTTGGCTTTATTGACCTCACACGTGATTTGGATTCACTGATGCTGTTAACTTTTTCATTGTGCTCATCCTGTTCTTTGTCCTCTTTAATACTGTTCACCTTGCGTGTGTGATGTGAAGTCTCCATTGCGTTATGAAACCTTTATTCACTTTATCGGTATATTTTTATTCTATAATAATATAATATAATTTTGAAGATATTACACACACATACACACACATACACACACATGTATGTACATTAGATAAAAAATGCGGGAAATGATTAATTTTAGCATCAAACCTTTCAATGTCGTTAACTGTTGAATTATCTTTGTTAGGTTTTATCACAGCAGGTCGGAGGGTTATATAATTCACACGCCAACGATACTTGCTCCGTAAAGAAAACAAGAATTCATAATTATTACATTTTTATCTCTGTTACGGTTATCTCACGATAAAATTCGGTTCGTCGCACTTTCCATCAAATTACTCAGCGTATCGGCACACGCGATGACGCGCGAAGCTTCATTGAAGGTCCTACGGTTTACGTTACCATAGCAATGAGTTTAACATTGGAGATATGTTATGTCAATCATAGATAAGCGCACTGTACATACATACAACGGGACATATAGCGGGGTGATAACGCGGCAAATAATTAGAAACGGCCCGTTCATACGGGGGGAAATATTAATATTTACACATTCACATAATTGACGGTCGCTCGGACGAACAAGGATTAAAGGATGCGCAGTAAATGTTGTATCATCAGATAGACAGATTATTGTTCCCTTCAACGTAAATATTTATTGTATATTTTTATACATGACATTGCTTTCAGAATAATACTTTCATAAGTGATAGAGTAATTTTGCTTCACACGCGTATCCGGCAATTCAATGTTCATCAATGGCCGCTGTGCTAATTTGCAGGTTTCCTCTTCTCGTGATGTATTACGCGCGATAGAAGAGAGAAATATATATATGTATGTATATATATATATATAAATATATATATATATATATTTATGAAGATGTAACAATGCGATGTAATATATATTTCTTTTATATATTCTTAGGTGTTCCAGCAACGCAAAATACAAAGTTTCGTCACGATATTTAATTTTGTTAGAATCTCTATTTTTAACGCATATATATATATATATATATATATATATAATCATGACAACTTTTACGTCCTCATGCGTTTTGATTGTCACTCGTTTCTGATATACATGTGTACACACTGTCTTGATCCCGCTATACATCTAAATAGGCAACGTTAAGTACTTCCCTCACACTTACGCTCATTATTCCGGAGATACTCGCGTTAGTGAATACAACGAGAAACGTTCAGCAAAATTATCCGTGACATTCGCTGTCGCTAAATCCGTGTATTTATGCATGTATGTACGGTGTGTAGCTTAGGAGTGCGTGTGTGTGTGTGTAGGTCACGTCTACACATGTGTACCTGTGTATATGTGTGAAAATAAGACGTGTTTGGACCCCGCAACCTCCTGGCATGTCCTCGCGCATTATGATTGGAGTTCAATTGCACACGTACAGACGAACGATTTCAAGTGGTAAAGGCGAAAGAGCGCGCGTGGTGGCTCACGAAAACGGTGATGACGAACGCCCCATGCATTCGTTAATCCCGCAGCGGGCAAAATACGTAGACGGCACACGCTCCGCAATGCGATTCACGATGGAAACCGGGGACCGTTGGATTTATTGATTTTCTTTTCGGTAGCGTCCTGCCGGTTTCAACGGCGAAGTATAGTCATCCCCGGCTACACGCTGATAGTAGTCGTGGTGGTAGTAACAGTAGCGGAGCAGTAGCAGCAGCAGAGCAAAGTTACACGAGAGTTAGTCACGTGTTTCGTGTAATTTGATCTTTTGACATCGCGAGATCGCACGTAGGATACTCGAAAAAGGCGCGAGCGATCTCGACGTATCATTGGATAAGTATCTCTCTTTCTGAAGTCGAGTTTCATCCCGGACGATCTTGACCGACGAGAATTCGATTTCGCATTTCGCATCGGGTGGAAACTGGACGCCGCGTCTTTTCCGGAATACCCTGTGTGTCTAACGACAGTTACGTTCAATTAAATCTAACGACTTACGGCACGTATACGATGACTGATTGATTGATCGATACAGGTACATTCAAAGTGAGTAACACGGGTAACGCACAACGCGCTGAAAAACTTACGGTCGGTTACGATATTCGCGTCCCTATTGTTATGTACAACGTCATCAACATATTCGGATAATCTTCCTCGACAGGTTTTAACGAGCTTTCCACAGAGATATCCACACGTATCCACGGGAGGACTTCTATTGAAATAAATATAATAATACTGCTCGTTTTCACATTTCCGGCGACGATGACATGCATGTGTTGACAGTTCCATGTACTAACGCTATTGATCGGATTCTCTTGTGCGGTTAACAAGCGATATCAGCGGCGTTGGTATATTGCTTATCTGTAGCGGAACCCTCTTCAACAGCTTTCGAGCCAAAAGTAATATTGACAAAATTGACACGAGACGCAATATGTTCGATATTAATTTTCTGGACATTCTACGAATGCATACACAGAGAAAAAGGGTTTCTTTAGATTTAGCATTTCTATTTATTCGACTAAAATTTGTTTCATAGAAACAACATATACGGAAATATTAATTGTTTGAGTAAAAATTTTATTCAAGAAAAAGCTTTATTATTTAATAGAATCTCATTCAAGAAAAAGCTTTATTATTTAATATAAAAAACGCTATTATTTGAATTAATATTTTTTAACCAAATAAAATATTGTTTGGTTACAATATATTATTTGGTTACAATAAATATGTTAAATGAAACAAATAGTTTCTTTATAAGAAAATTATCTTTCGTTACAAACAAATTTTTTATTTAAGATAAAGATATGTATTCGTTGAAAAGTTTAACAATCGTATTTATTAGTTGAAACATTAGTTTCTTTGGAGCATGTCAATGATGAAACTGATTTGGATACAATAAAATTTATTAAATATGAAGATATCTTTTTCTCAGTGTACGTATATACGCAAAGAGCACAATATTCGTTATAAATGTATAGTCAGTCGGTTATCCTTTTAGCAAAAAAGCAACGTTCAAGGGAAACGAATTGATCCGAAACCATCCAAATACACGATATTTACGCCTATAATATTTCTAATTACAATCACATGCATGTTATTGCTGTGCTTAATACTGTCTCTGAATTTATTAGATAAAATTTATATATATATATATATATATATATATATATCTTGAACACATTCAACATATTATAAATTTTGAATTTGCAATCTGTAACCGGAATATGGATGCGACACAGCGAATCTCTATATTTTTTTTACTGTTTCCACCAAACATCAGAAGTCTCTAAATTATTTATTCTATAAGATTTCACCATGTAATTCATATCATCGCTCTTCTTCTCAGCTGTACACTGCTTACTAATCTTTCGGAACACAATCCCTCCAATCTTTACGCGATATAAAACTAGCTTTGTAGGTGTGCACATACCGTCACTTTACTAACCAGGACAGAGGAAACGGTAAAACGACCGAAACACTCCGTGCGAAACGCTCTTCTGATCTGCGTGCGAAGATCGCCCTTTCGCACATTTGCTCGATCGAGACGAATTTGATATTGCGAATACACACGAGAAACTGTTTATTGTCGCGACATTATCGCGACATTGTTGTTTATCAGAGAAACTCATAGAATCGGAAGGGCATACCTAACAGTTAACACGTGACATATTTACGGTCGTTTTGTACTTCGTCGGAGTAAAGAAAACGATTATTGCGCTATCCGAACGAACTGCGCGACGCATCTTTCCCTCGAAACAAGGCGCGTCCAATTAATTACACGTATTACACTTGTATTTTCCATTGAAACGCTAATACAGCATCCTTTCGTCTTCGGCCGCGACGATTCTACCGACATGTACTGACCAATACCAACCGACATCGAGATTAGAAAAAATCACGCCGGTCTTTCTTTCTCTTTTCAAGCATACGTCAGCGACGTCTCCGTGACGGCCTGTGACAGTGAGACGCGAGATCGAATTGACAACGAGACACTTAATCCTACGTTTGATTTGCGTCAATCGCAAGCTCGCACGACGGAACTGAAAATCCGGAAGTCATCGAACGGTTAAGGTCTTGTGAAGCGATACCGGTACGGAGTCCAGGCGAACAGTTCTAGGAAAAGAATACATATCCATTTGTCTATGTATCGCCTATGTTTGCACATCCTTTAGTGTTTTGTAGCATGCAAGTACCAGCGCGCAGGCCGTTATCTATCTCGCCGTCGCGATGTTCGGGATGCAAGAGATTAGCACGCACTCTGAAAACGTCCAGCTCGCTTGCGAGAAAGGTTCCGTCAATGAAATGGAAAGTCAACGCGCCACGCCATTCGCGTTACTTTCGCAGCCACAACGCGCACGGTGTGCAAATCGTAAATCATAGTTTTTTTTTTTTCTGCCGATGCGCAAGCTGCGATTGCATCCTCCCACTTTCTCTTTTCGCTCCGTAGCTCGCTATCGCTCTCTTTTTCCTCCCACACTGAGAAAAATGTCCGATCACATCTGATTGGGTAATCCAATTGCAAAGTAACAAACGGATATATATATATATATATATTCGATCAAGTGCGATGTCCGATCAAGTCGTGTCTTTATTCGATGAAAATTACAATGGATATAAACAAAAAGCGATTAATTTTCCGATTATATTTCGGTAACCGCATCGGTAACTTGATCGGATATTTTTATCGGATAAAAGTATTCATCACTTGATCGGGCAATAAAAATAACAATCGGACAGCATTTAATCAGTTTATCCGATGGAAGTTTTTCTCAGTGCAGTAATTTAGATCGAAGAGCGAAAACACCGAGAAAGGAATAAGCAATCGCGAATATGCCGTTTTCTAGTTCACTGTTATCGATCGAAAAAATTCAGCCACAGTCTAGCTGATGATTCTGCTAGTCTCGAAATTGTTTTTCGGAAGATAAGAATCAACCGAAACGGTGATTATTCCAGTCCTATTCGGTATTCGCGCTCTCTGATCGAAGTCAAAAATCCAAGCCAAGTGACAGAAATGACATCCCCGAGATATCGAAGATATTCGAAGAGTATCGCTTTCAGCATTCGGCCGGTAATTAACTTTCCCTCTCTAAGTTGTCCTCAGGCATGCTGTGTTCCGATGCAAGCTGCCGTTTCCAGTTGTGCTTAATGCTCGATGATGAAACATGCCGAATTGCTACTAATCTGATTGGTCTGTGAACGGTTTTCGGATGAGCGGTGTCTAAACGTAAAACGACCGTCCGATGGATTTGCCAGTGACAGACAAACGATCTTGCGTAAGGAGAAAAAAGTGCATGTTACGCTATTTCGTCGGCAAAATCTCGTCGGTGAATGCCTATAAGATAGAGAAACAGAGACGATGATTCGATATATTGTAATATTTACATCGAGAGGTCGAGTGGTCGGATATGATTCGTCGAGAAACGATCGGACAATCCGAAAACTCGCTCGTTTTCTCATCGTTTCTTTCAAACGGGGCAGTAACATCCGAGCATCGTTGCGACAACGATCGACGGAGGTACTTGATTAACACCGACTAACGAGATAACTAAATCTCTCGGGATGATCAATCGGATCAAATTGATCGGTGATGGTGAGGTCGACTCGTTCTCGGCCTGCCTGTAGGTGGTATGGGAGGATGTCCAATTGCAATCTGGTCGGTGGTGGAAGCGACATGACGATGAGAGAGAAAGAGAGAGAGAGAGAGAGAAAGAGAGAGTGAGAGAGAGAGAGAGAGAGCGCAATATGCAAAACTACTACTCTCGCTAAGGACTGGCAGTAGCGTAGCGGTCACTACACGGCGATTCACTCTACGATTTACCATGATTGGTGAAGCATGGGCAGAGTGCGTTCAGAATACGATTGCAGAATCCACGCGCTCGGTTGTTCCAGCCAGCGATGGTATCGCCACCCTTCAATCTACTACCTGCGTAAACACACACAGACGCGCGCGCACACGCATATATAGCCAGCGTGTAATATAAATATCAATCTAAAAAGGTAATTATAATGTAATGCTGCGCGTTCTACCTTGCAAGGTGGTTCTATGTTACTCGAGCGTAAGCGTAAGTGTAAAACATCCAACGAACCGGCGATACCTTCGATTAATTAGCAGCACCCGCGTGCTATTCATTGATTCGAACGCGCGTGTTCGCTAAGTCAGTCGGCGCATACACACACACAAACACATCTACGCTCGTCTATCGATCGTCCTCTCTATCAATTTTGTTATTCCTGCTGTCTCTATCTAATGATCTATAGCCATTTCTATGTGAAATCTAGCGGATCTATTTATCACGATCGCGATCTTGTTTACTCTTTGCCTACCTCTCCTTCCTTTTCTCGCGATTTTGCGCCGAGTATAATATTTTCTGCTTTATTTATATCCACCTTCTCTCCCTTCGGTACTGCCGGCGCGAGTAAAACGAGAATATTTCAGCCTCGCGTGCGAGAATATTTGAGTTTCGTGAAAATCGAAAGGTGAGATTGTACGCATCTTTCTTTTCTTTTCTTTCGCCTTTTGTTTCAACTTACCTTCGCCTGCGTCAGCTCCCTGAAACACAAAAGGGCAGCGTTGTACACCTGATCCCGGCGAAACGGTGAAATCCCTATGTATAGGCGATAAATAGATTTAGTCTGTCGTTAATAACGCGTTTGTCTTCGGCTCTCACGTCGCTCCGAAACTCTTCCTCTTTGAATGAGCGAGTTCAAGCGGGTTCATTACCTCCGACTGAACTTTCCTCTTCGAGGCTTCCGTGGCGGCGGTCTCTATCACATCGGTGATGAATTTCGTGGTCTCCCTCATGAGTTCCTCGTCCTCCTTGAAGGCCTCCTTCCTCTGCTCCAACGTCCCCGTCATCAGATTCTTCTCGTGTTCGTCCATGTCGTCGGAGCGAAATGAGATGGACATCCGGCCGGATCAAAATGTCATTAACGACGGCGGCTTTCGTGCCCTAGTCCTTCGCAAATAAAATTAATTCCAATCAAACACCGGGGGAACACCCTCGCCTGAATCGCGACCGAATTGATTTCGGAACTCACGGACGTCGCGAATGTCCGATTAACGGCTTGCCGACTGTAACGGTCTAAGTAAGACGATTTACTAAATAAAGGCTCGATGACCTAGACACTATGATGACACGATGACGAAAGCACTCGGATAATTATAGACTCAATTATCTCTCCGTCTCTCTCCCTCTGTGATCACCGGCTTGATAATAATTCACTCGAGATCCCCGCGATCGACCCTTCACACCTTCGAGTCTTCCGAGCATGTATTATCGGTCAATGTTCGAGGGGACTGAAAACGGCGTAATTTCGTACGGGAAAAAAAGTTTGCTTGAATTTATCTGACAATGGGTAAACAAACCGAACGCGTTTTGGCTGAAGGCAAGCCGAAAGAAAACAGAACCTCTGACTATAAGAGCCGAATTAATCGGGTCCCCTCAAACAAAATGCGTTCGTTCATCGTCGGGTAAATTCAACTAAACGTTCTTTTTCGAGTAAACTCGCAGAAAAGAGCGTGCGAATCGAAGTCCATTCCTCAACGAAAGCGAGCTAAGCGCGTGTTATGGATTTTTTTTAAATAGAACAAGACACAAATCATCGCTCCGAGTTCGCTCTTGTCTCTCACCATTAATAAACATGCCGGCCGCTTCACACGATCAATGGCTAAATCGATTCTATACTTTTAAAGCGAACGTCTCTCCGACTTTACTGCGTTTCCTGCGATTCACCGTGCATTTATAAAGTCCTTCATCAAGCGGACCTTTCGCATCGTCTTAATGCGGATCGCTGGTAAACGAGACCTCGAAATGGAAATTACGCCGGGTTTCAAATCCCGACATCGATTCGATCGGTATTCTGGGAATCCGCGGGACCAGCTACCGCTCTCCCGTCGCTGATCCCCCCGATAACGCGTATGACAGACCGCAATGTAAATACGACGGATATGCCACAGGTGGTGTGTGTTTCACCGCGCACACACTGACTCACTGACGCACCACGACAGTATATACACGCGTGTATCGCCGCTCGTTGAGGATGCCGACGATGTCGTGGTCGCCGGCCAAGGCCGGCGCGGAGTAGCCGAGGTCGAGACTGTTAATCGCTGATAAAGGCCCGGATTTGGCGACGAGCTACTCCTGGCGCCGGTCGTAGCGACGAGTCCTCCGAATTCGCGAGCTCGTACCTGCTTCCACAAGCATGTATTCACCTGACATGCAGCGACGAAGAAGTCTCGTGTTCTCTCTCTCTCTTTCCCTCCCTCTTTTTCTCTCCTTCTCTCTCTTTCTTTCTCTCTCTCGCGATGACTACGTTGTCAAACGGGCGGTTCGCAAGCGGAACGACCGGGATCCCGTCATTTTTTCTTTCAGCTCGTCCGCTCAGCCTGCTGTCCGGGTCGCGCTCCACCAGGTAATGATCGACGCGAGTCGCTACCAGCCGAAGCTCTCTTACCCGACTGGATATCACCCCAGCCAGCCGAAACGGAGCATGCGTCGGGGGCATGCAGCTATTAGGTTTTTATATCTTCGCCTATACCTCTTATCTGAGAGAATATGTACACATGCGCGTGCATACATGCGCGCACATAGGTACGTATATATTTACAGACCGGCACATGCGAACTAGAGAGTATTTACCGCCCTTACCTCGCGCGGATCTGGCGACCACCCGCGCGCTATCTCCGCCGCTTGACTGCGAGCGAGGTGAAATTTGAGGAAAAGTCGTCACCAGATTGGCGATTGTAGCCCGAAATGTTGACTCGTGTCGAGGGGGAGTAAACGACACTGACGTGAATTTGGCGAACTCCCGAGTCTGTCGAAGGCGGAGGGTGGAGTTCATGTCACCGTTGAATCTGCTCTCCCGGCTCTCCGCGCAAATTGCGCACAAGTGCGTATCCGCAACTGACCTTCCATTCCGCGCCTTGCTTATCGCTATGCGTGGCGGTCTGAAAATCGACTCGGTTCCGCTGATTTCTACGTCGCGTGATACTCGCTATTCATGTCACGCATGGTAACACGTTCTTCATTGTAATTAAAAACTTTCAGCGTGACATTTAACACGTTTGATATTAATTTCCGTTGGTTTGAATTATTCCAGATGGAAACGTTGAACATAGTATGCAAATATTTCATGTATGCTTTGTGATGTCACTATAATATAGCGCAACATGTTTATTAAAATACGCTTATTTCAAGAAGTGTTCATTTAATATGCCATAATTTTAGTCAAAATATTAATTTCTTATTACTAAAATAACTCCGGACTAATTGCATTCTTTTTTTCCTAATGGGAATATTTTGCTAAAAATATTATGAAATCGGCGAAAAGTAAAATGAAAATTATAGAAAAATTACTGAATATATTTCAAGATGAATCATAATTTTCCTTATGAAATTTAATGTAATATTATGAAATTATACTGTTGGAAAGTAATAATTTTTTTGAAATATCGGATGTAAAATTTACTGAATTTTTATTGAAATATTGATAGAATAATAATAAAATGAGGTCAGTTGAAAGAGAATTTCAAATATACGGATATTAAAATACATTTTAGTATATGAAACAAAAAAATTAGTTTTAAATCAATAATAGATATTCTCATATATGTAAAAATATTATAAAATATTGTAAAAATATTATAACCTTAGATTTTTAATTTTGATTTGATTGAATTTGTATTAATTCAAATATACTCAATTCAAGACATCTAAGAATATTGCAATCTTCTTATTTATATATATGAATATTTATCATTGATTTAAAACTATTTTCCCCGTGTATAATTTCATTATATTTTCAGTAAAATATTACCATCAGCGTCGGACAAAATAAGCGGTAATATTCATGGCATCGGAATATTGCTACAGTATTGCCGTAATTTTCACGGCATCAGACGATCTTCTATTATATACTGACTGAAATGATTGTTACATGCAGACGCGTCCTAACGTACTTATGCTAGTCACTAAGCAGACAATGTACCGAAATGTCTATCCGGGATTAGTTGGAGCGTATATGTGTACACATAAGTTTGAGGTCGGACACACGCGGAATCCGTGCGTGAGGTACTTGTTGAATCCAGATTCTGTCGGAACGATGACGACGCACCTGCCACTCCGCAGCATTATTCTAAAATTAATCCGAAGCTGTGCGCCTCGGTTCTTTCCTGTACAACATATTAAGAAGATCACAACGCGCAAATTTGCACAATACACCTTGACGCGAGCTACAGACGAGAGCTTTTTAACGCGTTCCACTTAGTACGTCATTAAAGACACACACGCACACACACGCGTTGTCAGCTGTTTCATAATTGATGTCAACTGGTCGCAATTAGCGACACGCACTGTGCCAAGTGTTAGTTCCTCGTAAGATAAGTAATCGCGTTGTGTTTCACGCCAACTTCTCTAAGTACATTTCCGAGTCGCTCAACCTCGTCATAATGACGCGCTTGATCGTCGAATGTCGAATGGAAGAGGAAAAATCATGCGTCCTCCGATGCTCACCCTTTGCAAAACACGCTTTGGTAAAGATGTCGGTTCGGAAAGACGTTGTTAAATATAGTACGGACGCGCTTAATAGACAGAGGATCAATATGATCGCGACGCTGAATAATTTTTCCCCCGAGATGAAGCTTGCCACTCGATTACAGCCAACATGCATTTTTCTTCTTTTGCGGCGGACGTTCTGCACCACGTACACACGTCACACACGTGTTGTTCACCTACCTCGTTCGCAGCAGGTCTTTCTCCGAGCACCTGCGTTTAGTATCTATACAAATACAACGTTCACCTTGCGAAAAATCATATCTTGGAAATTACTAGTTTCTATCAGTGATATTACTATTTCACTGTAAAATCTACACCACTGAAACGTTATTGTTAAATCTATCGACCAAGTAAATTAAAAAAACGTTTACTCTTCCTCTCTTTGTTCATGTTATTAGAAAAATTCGTTGTAACATTTCCGAGGAAAATCTGTAAATATATTATATTCAACACACACACATATGTGAGTCATATCTGAAAACCGACTCAGCTCTTAACAGAAAAAATATAATCTAAACGTTGAACGAGATATGGAAGGAAGACGTTCTAGAATGTCCGACTTCCGTTCTAATTAGAAATTCCTCCAGCGTTCGGGGTATGCCTGAGTATCTCAAAGATGAGGGAACATAATTCCAGAAACTCCTTTTCTTCGGGAGCTTGCAACGTTCGAAAGTAGCTGGGCATACTTTGCGCGAAACTCAAATTAATCCCTCTCGCTTTGAAAGATTTAATTCTAAGCGGCTGAGCTGCGCTCTCTCCTTTTATTTTTAAAGCGGAACAAAATGGATTCATACACGATGCATCCGCGCTTCGAAGTAAAAAGAAAAAAGAATACCGAAAGAACGAAGCGAGGTAGAGAATTGCAGAGTTGAGACGAGTAGGAATCTTAACAATAGGGCAAGTGTATTATACTGCGTCGTACAATCGTCATCCGTTTGCCGTTTGTGACGGCACGTGTGAGTCGTCGTCGGCGCCGAGCCGCCGTTGACGGCATGCGCGATTGACTAACGCGAGCCGCCCCCCTCGGTCACGGAGGTAAGAAAACAACTAGAGGGAGCGTAAGGTGAGTCTCTCTGACGGAGCGAGACGGGCGAGCCAAGGCCGTGGCACCTGATTGGCCAGGCGACGCCTGTATCGAAGGTTTCGATGTATCGGCTCACTGCGCGATGTTCGATAACACAATACGCATTGTTCCCCCTCCCCGACCGCACACACAGACTCGTTGGAGACTTGACCCGCGCCAGTTCGCGCATTCCCCTCAGTCACTTCTTACCTCCGTGCCTTTAGCCAGTCAGCCAGCCGCTACGTGATAAGAAATGTGGCAGTCTCGTACGAGGAGACCGATTCAAAGATGGCCGCGCCGCGGTCGCTCGATCACCCTATCGTGTTAATCCCGAGGCATCCCGCGGGATCGTAGTTCGTCCCGTTCGCAGTCCCCGTCGGCGGTCGACCTTAGTGCGCTTACTCAGTGTGGTACAGCGAGCGGGTGATGATCTAACGGCTCCCGGTCGCGCGATCATGAATTGCCATCAGATACTGAGCGGCGCCTGCAATGCGGGCGATCGCTGTTACGCCGTTGGCTCCGTCGAGGGAATTTCCTTCACGGTGAGTAAATCGCTGCGTGACAATCGGCGCGATACGCACGACGGCGCGAGGTGACGCCGCGAGATGCGTTCCGCCCGCGTCAGCCGGCGCCGTGCGGCCGACGTCGCGCGGAATTTCGCGATCCCACGGCCGAGAAAGTCGATACGCTCTCGCGAGCGTTATGGAAGTCAGCTGATCGGATGACATTTCGATTAGGCGTGAACGTGGGATTCTACGCGCGCTCGCCCCTGAGCGAGAACGCGGCCTCCTCCTCCTCTCCGCGCTTCTCTCCGCGGCTAACGACGAAACCGTGTTACCGATGTAGCAATCTCCGCGCACGGGTCTCTTACTCAGGCTACACACCTTTCTTATTAATGAAGATAACCGTCGAGGACTGCTGGAGCAGTTTTGACTATTTTTATCAACAGTCAGCGTATAAATGATGATCGTTGTCATGTTGAGAAGTAGAATTCGAATTTTGAGATGCGATATTTCAGAGGGAAAAAAATTATGATGCTGGAGACGGCCCGAAAGTATAGATTCGCGGTGATTAATTAATCACTCTTTCATCCAGGCGTACGCAGCTGGCTGTAATATCGTGATCCTGGCTAATAACTTCGAACGAGTGCAGATCATTCCCGGAGCGGTGCACAATTACATCAGAATCAGCTGTCTGGACTGCAGCACAGACACAGGGAAGATAGCTGCGGCGTATGAGAATCAAGTCTGCATTTTTGAGCCGACGCCGCTCATACACAGCACCTGTTCACATGTTTGTATCGGTGTCTTTAGATGTTTAAGAATATATTTGTCGTTTTTGTTGTTGTTGTAATTCCTTCGGTAAAAATTCCTTGTGTTCTAAGGTGATGTGTTGTTTCACAGCAATTAGAGTACAGATGGGTTCAAACGGGAAGTCTGCAGACGGAATCGAACATCACTTCTTTATCATGGAATTTAGAAGGAACCAGGTTGCTAACTGGTGGCGAGCTGTTACAATTGTGGCATCAGAATATTATGCCATTTCAGGAAGAGCACAGTAAGTTTACTTTCTCATTGATCATCTAATCTGTTGAAACATATATACGTATATTTCAAATGAATCTTGTGTAATTATTGGTTGAATAATCTATAACTTAAAGTCAGCTATGCAACTGTGATAGTTCAAAATGAGAATTAGATTCCATTTGCATGGTATATATGTGTAACGGTAGAACAGATTCATCTCTTAACGCTCCATCCGTCTCGAAATCTCAGAATTATCGTGTTTTCTGTTACTCGATGCAGCACTGTTACCCACAGCTACAAAGCCAAAAACAGTGCAGATAGAGGAAGCCAGTACGACTGGAAGCAATCATAATGTTACAGCAAATACTTCTCAGGATCGTGAGTTCATTCCTGTCGAGAGAATGAACGTGTAGCATTGGTGTTATTTGCATGTTTAATACACTCCACAGCTTTTTCTTTTTTTCGTTGCAAGCGTGTTTGCGACGCATCATGAAAGACAGTTGCTTGCACACCTCATTAAACCGGAACGTTTAAAAGAAATGCACACTGTAATATAAGAAATACGATACCAGATCTTTTCTTTTTTATGCACTAGCCATTTTTAATAATGCTTTGGTTTGCCGCAACTGTTGCAGCAAGAATCTTTACTTTGTTGTAGGTATGATACTTGCTAGTGTGGGCGGGATGAGAAGTGATGATTTAAATATGCTTATTTCATTTTCTTTCAGATTTGCAACTCTTAACGTTTTAATCTGCACATTTCGCTATTGCACAATATAAGCTCACATCATTATTCTGATATATGCTAAGCGGTGTAATGCAATTGTTATTCGTTATAATGTGACAAGATGTATATAAGCAGATAGACAGTTCAAGAAATTTTCCCTCATGCTGTATCGAGTTACCAGGCATTTTTTTTCTTAATGTGCAGCTTCTCCTTTCTGAATTTTAAATATGTGCATTTTGTCGTGCAGACAAATAATCTTACCATGTGTCGACACGCAAATTTACTTTCTGAACAGCTGGTGCGGTGACATTTTCCATCGGAGGAGAAGCCGAGAGTCCTGGGCCTGGAGATACAGCGAGTGCTAACGATCTCGGCGGATGGAATTGCGTATGGAAGTGTCGCACGGCTACACCGGTCCATCTTATGAGCTTCAGTCCTGATGGCACTCTGTTTGCAACTACAGGAGTGAATGATAGATTAGTCAAGATCTGGTTCGAAAACAAGCAGTGTATGTGTTTCTCTTAAATAACGATAATCTCTCTATATTCGTAGGTAATTATCAGCAAAGCTCTCGTCCTTTGCTTCCAGTATTTCCAGGCAGAAGCATGGATCATGCAAGTTTTTCCCAGTCGGTGGGTAGCGATAATTACAGTTTCGTTTATGTGGCACATCCTCGCGCAGTGACACACCTTTCTTGGCGCAAGACAAGTAAATACATGCCAAAGTGAGTAGCGTATCGATCAATAATGCGCAATAATTGACTTGCGTACACACGATTGAACGATCTGGGAAACAAATGATGTTGATCTCATAGTCATAGATAATCCTTTCGTCACTATTTAGGGGCTCCGTATCCAATATGTTGGTTACCTCGTGTCGCGATAACATTTGTCGCGTGTGGGCCGAGACAATACCGCCTGAAATTGAAGGTCTGGCCAATATGAGCCAGTTCGAAGGCTCCGACAGACATGGTCATCATGGCAAACATCGTCACCATAACATGCATAAACACCGGTTTATGCAACGCCTCAAGCACATGAAGTACGAAGAATAATACTTTTCGCATATTTTTTTTTTATTTACCACCTTGAAGTGCAAAAAATGCTCTTTACGATGTTCGCCGAGTATCGTTGGACGACAATACATAAGGAATCTGTCCGTAGGACATGCTTTCATATACGGCGACACGCTAAGCAGCAACATCAAGCCGGTCACACAGCACCGACTTTGCCAACGCTTCCGTCTACGTATTCTGTGCACGATTTTCACAACAATTATCAAACCTCTGGTCACTACCCAGGGATGCATTTCCATTTAGCAGCCAGTATCAACGCAGAAACTGGTATAGTATCAGTATACATTGTGTAGCATGTAGTATGAAGATTCTGTTCGCAGTTTTATGCCTTTGTCAGCGTTGCATTTTCTTTGGTATATTTTTGAAATATTGGTAATCGGCAGTGGATAGTATACGTTCATGTTATAGATATACCGCTAGTACCGAGCCTAATTACCGGGGACCCCGAAAGAGAACCGAATTTTATCTTACACTGGCTAAATAACAAAGAAATGCACTTCACGATGCAAGCCGAAAACATATTGCAGGAGTTGACGCGTAAAGTAGTAGAAAAAGAGGAAGGTTTGCAACATCAAGATGCTGAACACGTGGAACACGATTCCGAGGATGAATGTACACCGAGTATGAGTTTCACTTCGTATTATCGCGCCTATTGTCGAGAGGAAATTTAAATACCAATGTGACGATGTTTCTCTTTTTACAGAAAAAGGTGTTCGGTTGCAAACAGCCCAGAAAGCGGTGGTCGGTGGTCGCTCAATGAGTCAAGAGGATCACAGTAGTGATGAACATCATACTACGCATACTACCTCGTCACATCATAGTCTAGCGCACAGTGTACACTCCCATCCGAGCCTCAGGTAGATTTCCACGATCTCTTATCTGTATCGATTGTGTCAATTCTGTTGTGAAGTTGAATTTCACAAAAGGGAAAGGAAGCACAAAATGAAGATGAGATCTGTGAAGTGAATATACACATACATTGTAATTTTTTCTTGGAAAGGAAAAGATAAATAGTAATATGATTAAGTTGAGGACATATAAGAGAGCAGAATGTTGGGTGTTCAGTGTTAACTGCAGCTTGAATTTAGTTTAATTTTATTCTATGCAAGGCCATTATATTAAGGTATTCAAGTAATATAATTTTAGTATATATACGGTTTTGATTTATAATTTAAGTAATAGTTTCAATTTTTGGCTATCTCTTAAGTTTGTTTAATTCCTAAGATATTTTTCGCTCGTCGGTTTTAAAATCAAAATCATGAGTCACACCGAAGATAAGATACAAATCAGAAAGAGATATAATAATTTGTGCCCCGTTGTTAGAATTGTAATATTGATATCATTAATTATATATCAATCACACAGTAGTAGAGCGAAAGGAGTTAAATTGGAAGTGCAAAGATTAAATAGGAAAATATGATTTAATTTAGGGACAGAAGGTAGTGAAATTGGGCAGGTTGTGCAAATAATGTAAAGCTTAAAGCGAAGGAAAATATACGTATAACTGGAAGCCACCCAAAACCCCGGAAGGCGTGGTTTTAAGAATAAATAACAAATAATAATTGTAATTTTCTGTTGCAGCAACACAACCTCCATCAACTCCATAGCGACGGACGCGACGTCTACGATGAACCACGCGCCGGATTCACTGGACACCAAGATTGAGACGTTGCTGCGCGATTGGCATCACAATCCGGACCTGCTGTTTTCAATACACCCGATAGACGGGAGCTTCCTGATCTGGCACATCGAGTGGTTAGACGAGTACCACCCGGGATCCTTCCGACAAGCGCAGATCTCATTCTCCACTCGTATCCCGAACGCGTTCCCGCTCGGCGATGCGTCGACGATGAGCCACAACGTATCGATGTATTCTCACAACACCGGCGGGCCTTTGCTGAACATTCGCGAGGTTGCCAAGTCTTCGAAGACTACCGACCCCAGCGAAGTCGCAACACCTTTACCTAGTCTCATAGAGCAAGACGAAGAGCAGTCCACCTTGACGTCGAGAGCCGGTCAAGAATTACTGAAGAATATCGAGAGCACGAACGATCAGAGTCAGACGGCTGCGAAGGCGGATACTGGCGCGCTGGAGGGCAGCAAAAGCGGGCAGGACACGGATCTGTTGGCCCATCCTAGCCCGATCGTCTCCATGGTGTCGAAGCACTCGAACGGCACGTTGAACTTGTGGCAACTGACGTTCGCGGACAAGACGAAGTTCTCTCAGGTACTGAGTATAGGTCACGCGTGCAGGGCTTCCGGGCACCGCTTCCGCGTGAACGACATCACCTGCCATCCCGTCTTGCCTCTGCTCGTGACAACCTCCCATCACAACATACCCGAGTTCTCCGGCGCCCAGTCGACCGAGTCGAGCGAGAACATCAGCATCAAGCAGGACACTTGCAAGGGCAAGGACATCATGTCGCCCACCGGCTTCTGCAGCGAGCTGATACTGTGGCGGGTGGACGCTGTGGGGCCTCTGTCGAAGAGCGGCGGCGTCTCCGAATTGGCGCGCATCAATTCGCCGGAGATATCGGCGTTCAGTAACGTAGCCTGGATCCCGACGCTTCTGCCGAGCACGACGCTGGGTAACTTGTCCAATTCGCCCAGCGCCTGCTTCGTAGCGAGCGACGGTGAGTGCCTGCGGGTTTACCAGGCTGTAATCGACGCTCGAACGCTGCTGGCAGAAGTGTCGATCAGCGAGAGGAGGAGCAGGATGATGGACTCGATGGCCAGCCTGTCGACGGACATGTCGTCGGACGACGGTGTCCGACACTCCATTCACGACAGGATAAAGATAGTGTCGCAGCAGTCGACTGCGAGGCCGGGATGCGTCATACAACTGGACGCCATCTCCGACGCCACTCACGATTGGCAGAACACGCAGTTCCTGCACGTCTTCCAGGAACAACTGATCACGGGCGAGAGAAGCGACGAGAAGCTGCTGGGTTTCGATACGTCGTCCAACGATCTAGGCCTGATGGAGTCCACCCTGGACGCCATGGTGGATTTGCAGCAGTCGGCGATCTTCGAGGAACCGTTCTACATAGTGGTTTTGGAGCGTACGCAGCAGGGTACCACCGTGCACATGTGGCGGCTGGTGATAGCCTCGCAGCCCGAGACCACCGGCTTGTCAGGCTCGATGATGTACGTCCCGGACTCCCATCTGGTGCAGGACGAGGACGAGGAGGGCACGCCGGGTAGGTTGAGCCACGCGGAGGGCCGGAGGTCGCGCAGAGCCAGCCAGACGCGGAGCCGTCGCGACAGTCAGGCCGATATGGACTCCACGTTCCTGCACCGCCGCCATCAGAACAGCCACGTACTGATCACGACCACGAAGGTGTGCACTCAGGAGTTGCCGTTGCCCGACGGGGTGGAGGTGATCCACGCCGCCCCGGCCGCCGGACACCTAAGCAGCTCCTCGATATACCCGGCCTGCTTCGCGCCCTATATCGTCGTGACGGCGTGCAGCGACAGCACCGTGCGCTTCTGGAGGTGCAAGGTGACGAAGAGGCCGGATGACAAGCTGGACTACGAGTGGTGCGAATGGGAGATGACTAGGAAGGATCAGGAGTCGACGATCGACATCACCGGCCAGCCGTTGAACATCAGCGCGGCTTACAGTGGGCGCATCGCCTGCGCCTACAAGTACGGCAAGTCGTTCACCCGGCCGACGAAGAACGACCCGGACTCGCGTTACGTGAACCTATGCGTCGCCATATACGAGTGCGAGAGCACCGGTGGCAGCGAGTGGATCCTGGAGGACACGATCCATCTGAAGAACATTCACCTGCCGCGCATACCGGTCGATCAGCACTTGGACCTCAGTTATTTGTACGACAGTAGATTCCTGCAGAAGAAGCAGAGGCTGACTCAGGTACTGCAGACCCTCAGCCACGAGGACATCCGATCGTCGAGGAATGGGGAGAACGGCGACTCGACGAAGGCGAACGCCGGCCTGCTGGCGGTGCCGTCCTTCAGCACGCTGCAGTCCCTGCGCAAGTCGATCATCGAGAACGGCAACACGTGCCCGCTCACGCAGAAACACCTGGTGCAGCTCGACTGGGTCTCGAAGGAAGACGGCTCGCACATCCTGACCGTCGGCGTCGGCTCGAAGATCATGCTCTTCACCCCGGTGTGCTCAGACTTGGCGCAGGCGAACATGAAGGCGATGAAGGAGTCGCAGAGCAACAACAGGCCGATACTGCGGAAGACCTCGTCGCTGGCGCAGCCGCAGTTCGTCGACGAGATCCGCTGGATGAAGCTGCGGAAGATCGAGCTGACGACGGCGGACGGGCTGCCGCCTCTGCCCATGCAGATCTCCTGGGTGCGAGACGGCATCCTGGTGGTTGGAATGGACTCCGAGATGCACGTCTACTCCCAGTGGAAGCCGAACCCGAAGAACGACTGTTTCCACTCGAACCTGCAGCACCAGGAGTCCGACGAGTTCCAGGCGTCGCGGAACCTGCGCGACGAGGACCTGCGAACGTTGGCGCACGAGACTTCCCAGAGGCGGCTGGCGAACGTGTCTTCCATGCCGCACCTGTCGCGCGTAAGCAGCATCAACCTGACGATGCTGGACGCGAAGAAGAAACGCGGCATGCAGAACGAGAGCCTGAGCTTCGATTACATGCCGGATTACGGGCTGTTCGAGGCCTCGAGGATAGCCTGTCCCGTTCTGCCGCAGTATCATCCGAAGCAGCTGATGGAGCTGTTGAATTCCGGCAAGATCCGATGGGTGAAGGCCATACTGGCGCACCTGGTCCGGTGCATCGGCAGCTCCTGCTCCCTGCGCGTCGACGACGAGAGCCTGGTGAAGCAGCGCAGCGGATGGTCGCGCTCGAGAACGATGTCGGTGAGCTACGCCGGCACGACCTCGCCGTTGGAGCCGAGAGGCTCGACCACGCAGATACCGGAGGAGCTCACCCTCGATTACGCCGAGATCACCTCTATCTCGCCGCTTCCGTTGTGGACCCTGCTGATGGCCGACAAAGAGACCAACCTGCTGCCGCATCAGCAGAACGAGGACAAGCACGACTATAACGAACTGTTCGACAGTAATTTGGACGAGGGGGATTCGTTGGACGACATGTTGGACGAAGGTTACGACTGCTCGCGGCAGAAAGATAGGCGATCCTCGGTCCCGGAGAGACAGGGCATATCCCACTTCGGGCCGAGACAGGGCAGGCTGTTGTCGCGTCTCTTGACCCACACTCATCTCCCGGGCTTGTCCAGCCTCGATCAGATGCACCTTCTCGCCCTGGCCGACACCGTCTCCACGTGTAACGTCGACTTCGCGGAGAGATTCGCGATCGACGCGGCGAAGAACGCGATCGCGAAGGAGAATCTGACCGGCATCCCGGACGGCGAGACCGTGTCGACCGATTCGTTGGACGACTGCGGCCTCAGGTTCCTCCTGGCGATGAAGCATTATAATTATCTGATACGCTGCCTGCCGCTGGTGCAGAGAGCGCAGTTCCAGAAGCAGGGCATCGCGTCGAACAATCTCGTGTGGGCGTTCCACTCCGAGTCCGAGGAGGAGCTGCTAGGCTTGATACCTTCTTATGCCAAAGGTCAACCAAAGTGGTCCGTGTTGAAGGAGCTCGGCGTAGGCTGGTGGATCCGGAGCAACACGGTGCTGAAGAAGTGCGTGGAGAAGATAGCGAAGGCCGCTTTCCAGCACAAGCAGGATCCTTTGGACGCGGCTGTCTACTACCTGGCGATGAAGAAGAAGAACCTGGTGTGGGGCCTGTTCAGGAACAAGCGCGACGAACGGATGACCACCTTCTTCGCGAACAACTTCGCCGAGGACCGTTGGAGGAAGGCGGCCCTGAAGAACGCCTTCGCTCTCCTCGGGAAGCAACGGTTCGAACACGCGGCGGCCTTCTTCCTGCTGGCCGGCGCGCTGAAGGACGCCATCGACGTGTGCCTGAACAGACTGAGCGACATTCAGCTAGCGATGGTGATCGCTAGGCTCTACGAGAACGACACGTCGTCCCCCAACATGAGAAGACTGCTGTACGAGGAGATCCTCGGCTGCGATAAGGAAGGACAAAATCAAGATATAAGCAGAGTGCATCCCGATCCCTTCCTGCGGAGCATGGCCTTGTGGATCTTGAAGGATTACTCCGGCTCCCTCAATACGCTGCTTCTGACCAACGTCGGCCACATGCATCCGCAGTACAACGACGAGTCTGACAAACCAGAGGGAACGACCGGTAGGAGATGTTGATCTCTGTTTCACATTTTGTTTTCGTTCCTTGTTTTCCCGTGAACTAATCCCTCAAAGTGACACGCATCTTGTGACTTTTATTTCAGCGAATCCGAACGTCTTCAACTTCTACGTGTATCTCCGCACGCATCCGTTACTGATTAGGCAGTACATTGCTTCCACTGCGCAAGATAAGAAGAAGGGACACTCGGTAGTGATTTCAGGATTCAGTTACGGAGGCACGGAGACGAAGAGTCAGCCGGACAAACAGCTGATGTTGGAGGACACTATTACGCCATTGGAAAGGCAACTGTATTTCACGACTGCACACGCACATTTCAAAGCCGGCTGTCCGGCCCTCGCGCTTGAAGTTTTGTCCAAATTACCTAATAAAGTTATGGACACGAATGGTGAAGATTCTCCCAGTGAGTAACGTACATATGTAATTATACGTTAAGGGGGGAAGGGGAAGGATCCTTCGAAGACGACGGATTTTTTTGGACAATATTGACATTTGTTTCTGTTTAAACTATCGCATTATGAATATGCGGTTTAATACATGTGTCTGAATATATTTATTACTTATGAGTTTTTATAAATCTCTATATTTAATAACTTAAACATTACGAGCCATTTCATACGTGGTCCTTTGTTCTTGTAACATTCGACACGATTGCGGCTCCTCAATTTATCTAAGACACAAAAACCTAAGAGATTTTTAATCTATGTGAATGTGGCCAGCATTCCAGGGAAGCATTTTATGGATCGAAATTTTACAAAAATTTATTTTTTTAATTATCCATGAAGGAATCCTCCCTCCTTAATCGAGATAGCCCGCGAATTTTATATTAAAACGGTCGCGATTTTTTTCTTTTATAGGTTTATTAAATAGTCCGAATAAATCCAGAGCTCAAGACGTTCAAATAGATACGGGTATTATTAATTGGGGAAATGAGTCAAGTGCAATAACGAATAATAAAGGTACGTGTGAGAACAGTTTGTTGTTTTAAGCGAGATGCATTAAGAACTTGCTCAAGTTGAAAACAAAATGTTCAAATGCTTTCCAGATGCAGCTGCCTCGGTAGATTGGGGCACGCCGTCATTCGATTGGTCCCAGAGCGGCAGACGCATGGAGGAAGACAAATTAGAATTAAATTGGGACGACGATCCTGCCGACGGCGATGACGCTGATAGTCCTCCTATGAGTATGAAACTTGACAAGAAAGAAGACGATACGCACAAATTAGAGAATGATAACGGTAAGAGATTATCTCTCTCTCTCTCTTACAGACTTGGTTGATCCTCTTATGAAATTGTGCTGTTGTACAAGTAATTTCAGACGATGTCGCAAAGTCAGCTGGACAGTTGGATATCATGGCGCAGCAGCTGAAGTTCGTGGCCTGTCTGAAAATCCTGATGGAGGAATTGTCCACGTTAGCGACCGGCTTCGAAGTGGACGGAGGTCAGCTGCGATACCAATTGTACGTGTGGCTGGAGCGAGAAGTGGACGCTCTTAGGCAGCTTTGCAGTTACAGCACTAGTGCGGACGGAGATGTGAACACCGTGTCGGAATGTAAGATCATTTCACATTTTTCATATGCAACCCTTATATAAGGCGCTACTTGTGTAATTTCGACTCTTGGCAGAGATAATGCAGCGAGAATCGTGGTGAATCAATAAAAGCGTGAACTTTCAGACGAAGGTGGTATGGTGGACGACGTGCCGCCGTACAAGCCCGGTGAGCAGCCAACGTTACATCAAATATTAGTGGCGGAGAAGTTGGACTTTGAAGCTAAAGTACAGAGAGCCGCCAAGAGGAAAAAATGGCTGAAAGGTGAATTGGATGAGTCGGTTGTCGCGTCGCTCGTACTCGATCATGTGACTCGAAGTGAACTTTACTTCACGAACCTCCTCCGAACTTAACGTTTTAGTTTATAAGAAATTAAACTAAAAAAGAAGTAGAGAAAAAGCGAATGAAATGTCTCTTTCGAATTTTCAGCTAACGAAACATTGTTGAGGACATTACTGTCGTACTGTTCGTTGCATGGTGCGTCGGGTGGCGGCCTAGCGTCAGTAAGGATGGAGTTGGTGCTCTTACTGCAGGAATTGCAACAAGAAAAGACTCAACAACAATTGCTCAGCCCCCTGCCCTTCCCCACCACGCTACCTCTGTTAAGCGCCAGCGTTGCCTGCAACAAAACCGTCGTGGCCGATCCGGTTCGGCATCTGCAGGTTCGTTCAAAACCTGTTTTCCACTAACTTCTTATCTGTTCATGCGTAACGTCAACATTGTTGCAGTCCCTCGCGCATGATATGCTGCAGACACTGGTAGAGCTACGGAATCCGCCGATGCCTAATAGAAATACGCATTATTGCGAAGTATTTATTATGAGAGACTTAGCGGTGGCACTTAGCGCCTGTATTTACCAGTCCCTTTGCGACTCGGATACGTTTGTTATGAAGCATCATCAGCCAGATAGGTAATTTACATTACCACTTAGTTTGATGAGTTATAATTAATTAATTGATATCGCACAATGTTACTCTCCATATATATAAGATAACAATCTACTCCTATATACATATATATATGTGTGTACGCATTATATTGTCTCTCAGTTTCCCAGCGGTCGCTGAAGTGGAAACGTTCTCAGGTGGCCACTTGGTAGCCTCGAACAGGTATCATCGACGATACTCGACAGACGACGGAGTATGTATAACTACTTCGCCTCCCAAGTGGCCGGGCGTAACTAACTTACGCGCCTTGCTAGCCCGAGAGAAGGACGAGGACACTCCGAAGTTGAACATTTTGCTCTGCGAAGCTTTCGTAGCGACGTACATGAGCCTTTTCATCTACGCTCTCTCGAGTTGCGACAGTCACATCTTGTATAGATTGGTCGGGCAACACTTCGATAACAACACATGGTCCTGTCTCTTTGGCGGTGGGGTTAAGAAGCTGTTACGCGTAGCGAGCACCAGCAGCCAGGTATGATCGGTATGATACTATGTGTCACGCATCTTACGAACGTTAGCTCGAACTTCACGTCTTTCTGCCGTAGAGCGGCAGTGCGAGTGGCGTCGAGCGGGCCGACAGTGTGGCAAGTGAGATCCAAAGTACCGCCAGCGGTATGTGGAACACTATGACGTCGTTGACGAAGCAGCGCGTCAAGCTGAACATGAAACTGTTGGGACAGTTTACGGGTCAACAACCAAATATGAAGGAAGACAAGCCTACGTATAGAGAACAATTTGTGTCACCTCAGATGAGCATGATTTCCTATTTCCTCATGAAGGTAAGATATTAGGAAATGTGTGGCGATATTTCGCTAGTGGTACAACGGTATTGTACATACCGGTACTTTAAAATATCCGGCATTGTAAACACGACACACCTCGCGGGACCAATTTATCACCTTAAGAACCGTCTTTGTTTTGGAGGTTTCTTAAATACGTACAGTCTTTGTTTTGGAGGTTTCTTAAATACGTTTATCAACATGAAGGAATTCTGTGCGCGTTAGCGTGTACAGATTGAATCTAAGAGCCTACTTAATTTCTAACTTTGTATCAAACTTTGTATGCCAAATTTTTTTTTAGCCACGCATAGAAAACGAATACGCAGACGAAATTGATTATGATTCTTCTGACTCTGCGGTGTCGGACTTGGATACCACAGACGACGAGGAGGACGTATTCGACACGAATTCGAAGCCAAAGAACAAGCCAAAGGATAATACGGAACATAGTAACTCCAATTCGTACAGTTGGAATATAATGAGACTAGCGATAGTTAAAATACTGCAGGAGCAATTGCAAGACTTTCTGACAGTCGCCGGCATAGAGATGCAAGGTGTGAATCGAAATATTTTCCTAAGCGATGTTTCCAACGCGTATGATAATATAGCGATAATTAACGAATTAACTAATGCGTTCCCTATCCTAGAATTACCTGTAAGTAGCCCATTAATCCATGGTACACTGGGTATTGTCGCACAGTGGCAAGATTCTTTGCGCGAAGAACTGGAAATTAAAGGTCCACCGCCAGCCAATTACATACCCGGCTGTGCGCCGGATCCCTCTCCTACGCCAGGGAAGCCGGCTATTCACAAATATCGATCTTTGTTAGAAAAAGGGAATACGCCATTTAAGTGGGTACACGAAATGTCGCGTAGTCCTAAGTTTCAAGTTCGGTTGAATTGAGATATCAGAGAGGAATTATATTCTTACGAATTATTTCAGTACACGACTGGCATCCGCGGCGCCCGCCAATCGTCTGTGGTGTTATTTGGTTAGGCAAGAATTGGTCCAGGATATCTTTATTCGTGCGGTGTTCGGGAAACGAAGATCCTTGTCGTCGATACTCGAGAGTACCCAGACAGTCATGGATAACGTTCATCGCGGAACTGGGGAAGATAAGGGTAGCGACAGCGGTACTACAAGTTTGCCGGAACCAGTCAGGATTATTCATAAAGAACAAGACAGCATCAGTGCCTTCTGTCTCAATCAGGTTTCTGATACGATTCTTTTTCTCGGCTGTGATAATTGTATCTTTCTTTTTTCAGCGAAATAGTGTTATTGCTTTCTTTTATTGAACACCCCGCGAAAGATCTAATGGACGTTTCTTTCATTTTTAAGCAAATCTTCATTAAGGTCTTATATAAATGTTAAAAAAACGTTTCGATTCTGATCTTAATATTTTTATACATAATAATACGAGAGAAATCGATTATTGATACTAGTCATTGCACATTGGTTAATGTATTTGCAAAATGTAGCAAATTTTTTGGGGGGGTTTCTTTATATTTGCTTATAGCGATCGATTTATGATATGTTTTATCTTTTTTTTTTTATATTGAAAAATATCATGATAAAAAGTAAAATGTCTCTGAAAGTATTCACTTTTCAATGATCTTATTCTAGTATTTTTATACGTAGAATATACATAGGAATCGATTTGTATCAAAAAGACTATATGATTCCATAAAAAAAAGGCGATCTTTGAAGGCGATCTTTGAAGATCTGTGAAGCTATTCCACCTAGAGAGAAAAAGTGTTAACACCATAATCCGCTTCTGTACTATGTAATTTCTGTTGGATAAATTTTTCTCTTACTCTCGTAGTTTAGAAGATACTCAAGGTGATAATAATTATTGCCTCACTCAGTAAATATAATCGATTATTTCGTATATATATATATATAGGTAAACCCAGGTTTAATGGCCCTTGCTACACCCCGGGAAGTGCAAGAGATGAACATTTCCCTGCTCTTGGAACTTCCGTCGTGGTTGGAAGATGAATGCGAATTCGATATTATTAATTTGAATAAGCAACCCGACCCGGAGCCTGTACAGCCAACCAGTTTCTTAGTTATACAAGTAACGTCTGATGATTCTACATTTTTAACATGAGAGTAAAAATGCCATATTTTTAACGTACACGTCATTTACAGACCGCAGCAGATCGTCCTTTATTGGCACAGAGTCCTCAGCCAAACAGTCCTCAAACTCAATCAGGTATAGCCAGTCAGAGTGGACGTGGCGCGAGTGTGGTGAGTTCTTAATTATATTATTCATTTCCATCATTATATAATAATCGCGCATTACTTTCATCTATCAAGATTTTCCTTGCTTTTTGATAGACAGATAGACAGATATAAGAACTTATGGTAGATTAACACATATATATGTGTATATCACAGATTGAAGACAAATTTTTCTCTAAACAACGATCAAATATTCTAATAACAAATTTTGAAACGTCATGCAATTTTAAATATCATAAAACAAGTTAGTCATTGTATGTAAAGTAAATGCCATTTTTTCTATAGTTTTGTAAATATAATTCAGATTCATTCGATTTAGGCAAGAATTTAGTTTACCTCATTTCTCAATTTTTTATCTACATATTTGCACTACACTTTTACCGTTTGACATATATCACCTCTGAATACCACTGAAGCCGTGTTTATCTTCAAGCTAGATAGGATAAAAATGCATTTCACTTTTCCTCTGTGTGTGTTGTGTTGAATTGATTTATATGTTTATTTTTTTTTATTAATTATGCGGTAGAGGATACACTTTTACTTTTAGTGTAATTCTTTTTCTAGTGGAAATTTCACTATGCATTTTTTTTTTTTTTTTTTTAATATACGTGTGCGTGCGTGAGTGTGAAAAACGTGCAGTTAATTATTACGGCACAAGAGAGAGATAACGTTCAGAGAAATCAATTGATTCGCACACAGAGAGCTTATCATTAAAAAAAAAAAAGAAGGTATTTGTAGTACTTTCAAGATTAATGTTATACCAGCTCGATAAGTGGCTTTACAAGTACCTGGCAACGAGAGTTCCCTAGCAACACTGGAGATTGCGAGGAGTTTTTAACGAGCTTTTTTTAAAAATAGCCAGAATGTATGCCGATTTAGTTAGGAAGTGTGTGCTGTCTACCCAAGATATTCCACGAATCACATGTCATATGTGTATTAAGTTCCCGCAATGCATATTACATTGTATATTTGTCTGTATGACATCACTTCATTTGAACAACGTGTCTTTTTTATAATATTCTTATTTCGTCTCTAATGTGCAAAGATAACGATGTCGTGTTTTAATTACATTAGGCGTTCGTGCATTCACAGTGTGACGCGAGTATAGAAGCAGTATCTTGCACCAATAGAAAAAAGAAAGAGTTACAACTATATAAATAAATCATTCATTGCATGATATATATTTTGAGACCAAAATGTGCACTGTGTCTCACATATCAGGGCACGGCTGAGTTCAAGGCTTGTTTGTGTTGCGTGATAAGTGTTGGAAATAAATTCGTCGTTATTTGTTTCTTTTTCTTTTTTCGTTAAAACTGACGATGGTTTTTCTTTCGGTTTGAGAAAGTCGTGCTTAACGGTAACGCTAATCGATCGACTTCCTCAACGATTATGATAACTTATGTGTTTTATTCTTTTAACAAAGGTATAAAAACCTTAATGATTCTTTACGATTTTGCGAAACAAGCCTTGTGAGCCGTGAATGTGGTGTATTGGGTTAGGGTAGCACAAGTGGTGACGGAGACAATGTTGCTTGTTCAATGCTTGCCTAACATCTAACTCGGTCTGCGTCACTGAACTGGCGGCTCATTCGCTCGCTCAGATGAAGGGGATGCCTGCTTTTCCTGGCTCCCACGACCTGCGTTTCTGTCAATTTGTTGCCGATAGGAGCAAACACTTGTTACAACCGGTGAGATTTACATCCAACAGACCCTAGTCTATTCCTAGTGCAAATTTCATGTTTTAACATTTTGGATAACAAGCAGACGTCTGATTTGTAATATGCCAGAAAGACTCGTGTAAAAAAAGAAAAAAAAGAGAGAGAGAGAGAGAAAGAGAAAATATAGTTCGCGATATATCATAGAGGAGAATCTTGCAACTGTTGCGGAAATCTCTTGCGGAGTGGCTTTTCATATTTTTTTTAACGATCTTCTTCGCGTATATTGCAAATCAGATGTATCTTTGGGAATTTCGAGACATAGAAGACCTTACAACTCACGCCGTAAGGCGTGTTCTTAGAAATGTCTTTAGCCATTATCATTTTGTCCAAGAGCTCAATAGCGACTATGCACAGTGCGTTGGTTTGTATTTTTCGTTGCTTATATTACCGATATATATATATATATATATATGTATATATGTATATATATATGTATATGTAACACGTAATATAACAGTTGTACGATACGAAGGTTTATGAAGGTTTCATGAAGGTAATAAGCGTGTCTTCACTCATACTGGCAAACATAGTGTGTTTCATCTGCTCCTAGACTTTCATAGACGTTATTTATAGTTCATAGGCACGAGGCTCATTGTTCCTACCATGATTATTACGTTGTAATGTGTCAAACGAACACGATTGGAACTGGATATCTTTTATGCATGTATTACCAAATCCAAATTGTTCGACCGACTGTACGTGTAATTTGATGCGGACGTAACTTGTCCAATTTTAAGTAGTGTCGTGCTCATCATTTCTTTCAACACGAAGATCACGAGGCTTGGATATATATGTACAGAGAATTTCGTTAATGTTTTATCATACGACGCAAACCCATATTCATGGTCATCTACGGTCAATTCAACAGTCTACAAAGCGCTAGCCGTGAAGATAAACGTTATAGTAGCCGATTCCGGAAGCTAGTGGGCCGAAAAGCAGCCGAGTATTAGTTGCGAATCACCTCAACCGGAAAACTCGCTGCAACGCATGCTACATGTTTATTATATGCAACTCTATTAAAACTTAATTTGCGTTACGACACGGCACCCTAAGTGTTATATACCTTAACATTGCCGAGTGTCATGAAGTTGTGTTTCATTCTGCTGGGATACATATATGTATTATTACATATAAATGTACATCTTTCTTTCTTACCTCAAAAATCAGTCTTGTCGCATGCAGTTCAATTGATCGCCCGCGTTTCATTCTGACAGATTCTGAAGCACAAAATCGACGGAATCAGGAGGATCTCTTCCCATCCACTTTTACCGTTATGTAAGTACTTTCCTATTCTGTATATGTATGGCAGGGTTGGGTAAATGAATTTTTATTTTTAACTAAATTAAGTTGATAGCCTAGATAATACCCAACCCTGATGTATCGATTCGTCACGAGTACTTCTCCCTTTTGCGATCGTACCGGAATTGCGAAGACTTATCTTATTTTTTCCCATATGTGGCAACATCAGACTTAACCGGATCGCAGGACGGCTCTGTGTCGTTGTGGGAATGGGGTCATCAAACAGCGATTGCCACTCCGAGGGCACCAGGCACCTTCGCCAAAGTGACCCGCGTACGTTTCTCTCAGCACGGCAATAAGTTCGGCGTGGCAGATTCCGACGGTCATCTGAGCCTGTTCCAAGTGGCATGTCGCGAGGGAACTGCTCGGCCGTTCTTCGTAAGGACCTCTTACTTTCTCGGATTCGCGAAGGAACAAAGTCAAAAAACGATCGTTCTTTCATCCACAAATCTACGAATCGCGTGCGATTGCGTTTTTTTTTTTTTTTTTTTTTTTTTTNTGACCGCAGACTTCGTTTTCCTCGGCGCGTGCAGTCTCGTGGCTACCGCTGGTCATGGCTCGGAAGGACGGAACGTAGCTTTGTGGGATACGTTACTCCCGCAAAACAAGTCTCTCGTGCAAGGTATAAAAACGTTCCGTGCGTTAAGCGCGTCGGATAATTTTTATCGTTTACGTTCGGTGGGAAATTTTTCGGTGTTCTATCTCTATAATATGCACACACACGTATACTATAGTCCGATCATGTTTTGTCAGGTTTCATGTGCCACGAACAAGGAGCCAGTTCGCTGATCCTGGCGCCGCAGCATCAATTATTGATCAGCGGCGGCAAAAAGGGCGACATTACCATATTTGACGTGCGACAACGGCAACAAAGGCATAGATTCCAAGCGCACGAGTCGGCCATAAAGTGTCTAGCGCTCGATCCGCACGAGGAATTTTTCGTCAGCGGGGCAGGTGATGGCGATATTAAGGTAAATTAGGTGACATTACCTCTTACGCCTCCCCCGTTTCTACCATCGTGGTTGAAATCTAATCGACGACCGACCCGACCAATTGCATTGGCCAGTTAAACTGAACTGATCACGCGATCGGTCAATTCCGTTGAGTCAGTCGTCAAACAGATGGATAGAAACGGGCATTTCGCCATTCGAATGCAGTGCATCACGTTCGCAAATAAATCTAATCGAACCTTTTACCCGCAGATATGGGCCTTGACCGTCCATTCCCTGCTCTACTCATTCCCCGCGGAACACCCACGGTCTAGTTTCTTCAAGAATATAGGGCAGGTATGGTATAATTTGGCGATTGTCACTGACATATGTTGAGGAAAAGCCTGAAATGCGGAAATGCAGTGTTAACATATTCATGTAACGTAATCTGTCGTCAGGGAGTAACTCAGTTACACGTGGATTCTGCGGGACGATTATTTTCGTGTGGAGCAGATGGTTCTATGAAAGTCCGTCAACTGCCAGAACGCGATTGTGTAGTACAAGCGCTTTATTAGGATTACAAAAACAAAAAAATGATGATGATAATGATGATGATGATGATGAAGATGAAGAAAGAAATATGAAATACCGTGTAAGTATATTACGCAAGAGAGCTGATATTTATTGATTATTTACACACACACACACACACACATACACACAGAAAATGAATCGTTAAAGAAGTCTACGCATCCATTGATCGCTGTTGTACGATATACCAACTACTTTCACATACAGATATGCAAACGGTACGATTATCCCTTTGCATGGCTAGTGTGTTGTGACAAACTAATCGGGTATTATTTATAAATATATATAAATATATATAAATATATATATATATAAATATTTATATTTATTTATTTATAATATTGTCGATATATATATACATAATTTTGTCGAGAGAGCTACTTACATAAAGTAGTAAATTCCGCACGAATATTGTTGTTGTTGTCAAAAATTGAAGCTCTATTATATAGTCTAAAACATAGCGAGCTATTAACTTAGATAGCGTATCAAAGTGTTTCCAACTTAGAGAAAAAGAAAACCAAAGCAGCGAGCAGACAGGAAACCGTGGCGCCGTGAACGGTCGCCACATTTAGAACGGCACTGTGTATGTTCCCCAAAAATGTATTTCGTATGGAGCAGCATATACATTTACTAATGTGATGATCATTCCTTTCTCACATGAAAGTAATATATTAAAATTCGATAAATATGTATAATCTACGTACCTCTTCATATATATTTTAATATGTAATATATGTATTTATATATATCAGTTATTCAATTTTACTGTTTAGCAGCGGATAATTTAAAGACAATTTAGCCTGATCTTTATAGCGATTATGACTAGTGAAATGAGATATTTCTTTACGCCCTAAAAAAAAGGAACTGTGGTTTCTGTGTATTATTTGTTGAAATAGAGACAATGTGAGTGCAATGTGAGTAAGTTATTGTTTCTGTAATATAGTCCGATAAATTGGTTCAAACGAATCCTCGTGTATTCAAAATATCCTCTTCGGCGCTTTCTCTCGATCGTATATCGCAATGTAAAATATACAAATGCAAATGCTATTTGCGAAGCATGTGCGAAACATGGCAAATTATTTTTTTTTTTTTGGATAATGAGTAAAATATATAGAGCTTGAGAAATTTGTATCGTCTTCTCTTCAGCTCTTTCTTTTTCTTTCTTTCGAGATGTGATATACTCACCTGATAATAATAATTGCAACACAGCAGATTGCTGTAATGTACTTACATTGTCGCATAAACGTCGTCGCAATAACGTAAATAATTACGAATTACTTAAATACATGTTACTAATTAATAAGGAAAATTATAGAGTCGCGAGGTTTTTCAGAGCCTAGAGTTTTTGTTTCCTAAATCTCTCCGGTTTGTTTTAACAGTGGTCTAACGAATGTCTAGGTAAAATGTATTTTTCTCATATCCACGGTTTTGTAAATATTGTGTGAATTAATTAGAGAGAGAGAGGTATCATTCAATAGGGACTTGTTTGAATACGTGCAACACCAGATCTGAAATTTTAGTAGCACCCGTAGCTTCTATGTGTCCGATATTTAAATTATATTTTGTCACGCAATGAAAAACTGTTTATAATTAGTAAACGTGTTAATTCTGATATTCAAATTATACATATATATATATATATATAAATCTCATTGATTCGTATGATACATCTATGAAAACACTTATTGATCTTTCGCACTTTAATTCAATGTTATAAAATGGCACCATATTTCATTATAATGTAAAAGAGAAGTAAATAATAATATAAGAAGTAAGTAAATATCCGTTGCCTAACTATTTTAAATGCTTTTACCGGCTTGTTTTATGCTAAAAGCCTGTCCTGATTGAAGGCTGATAATAATCTACAATAATCCCATTTTTAAGGAATACTAATATATAACGTGTATGTATACATGACTATGTAGTATAAATTAAATTCATGTTTGTATCTACTGTGTATGTATCTATACGACCACATGTGTGATGTTATGTATATGTTTCTCTCTCTTCTTTCTCGTTCGATTAAATTATATATATATAAAAGGAACTCGCACAGAAAGAAAGAGAATATTTGAAAATTTGTCTTAATCGTACGTTTTGTGGATCTTCCGTTTGAACCATTGTAAGCAGAATCGATGATATTGTGTACGCTATACACTACATGTACAATAAATACATGCAAATTGTAAGTATCAGGCAGATATAGCTTTTAATAATACATGTATACTTGTTCATTGTATGAGTTCACTGTATTATTGTTAAATTCACGTGTTACATAATAGTGCAAGACAATATATTTTGCAGAACAAAGCTCTGTATATTTATATATATATATAAATAATAATCGATACATATAGCATGTTCGATTGCATATAAGATTTGAATAGCTTGGTACTTTTAATTTGGAACATAGCACCACATACAAACGTAGTATACAGTTCTAGTTTTATCATAACAAAGCTAAATTTCTCTATGTTAAATATTCATTCGACGTAGGTTAATATATATTCGTGGAATGTTCTTATGGGCGACAGCGTTCCAAGAAACGCGGATAGAGGCATACTTCGCGTATGTGATATCTGTTTAACAACCAGCACAAGAACCGTTCCAGCCCTAGTCCGTAACCACCGTGAGGACAGGATCCGTACTTTCGCTGCAAAGCAAGTAATACGATTATTCAACCTATAATGTTGTCTCTCCATTGCGACTTGCATTTTGTTATGTCATCATTGTCTCCGTTTTCCCTTACCTGATCCGTGTACCAGTAGTACGGGGCTGGATCGATGTTTTCACGGCTGTAACCCTCCATCATCTCATCGTAGTTCCAGATACGCATCGAGCCACCGACGATTTCACCTACATTCGGCAAAAGCACGTCGACGGACTCGGTTAAGCGACTATCCTCCGCGCAACGTTGCATGTAAAACGATTTTATCTCAGCAGGAAAACGACAGAGCATTATCGGCTCATTAATAGCGTCGGTCATCTTCCTCTCTGGCATCTCCGGGATATCCTGGAAAAAGGGACGATCACACATCTCGCCTCAAGCAGAGAGAGTATAAGAGAATAAAAAAAAGTATATTATTTATACCTCTCCGAATTCGTAGAAACTGCCGTCTTCCTTTGTTATGTTGTTTTCCCTCAAGTATTCGATCGCGTCACTGTAATTCATACGCTTGAAGGGCCTCTTAGGCACCTGGAAATTGGGATTTAATTCCTTGATGAGGCTATTGAGCGGCGACTGTAAAACTCGCTCGACCACGTCGCAAATCAGGTCTTCCAATCGATCGAGCATATCGTCAAATGTAATGAACGGGCATTCTGCTTCGATATGCGTATATCTAAAGAAAAATCAGAAATAATTGTAAGAAATTGAATATAATTTAGCATCGGGCGAAATATTTGTATGTACGAACTCTGCAAGATGACGACGCGTCCTCGACTGTTCCGCCCGATACGATTGTGCGATGCAATATACATCTCCCATTGCCGGGAGACATGTTTCAAGATACAGTTGAGAACTCTGAGTCAGGAAAGCCTCCTCCCTAAAAGTAATATTATTATTTGATCACTTGAAATTATGTGACATCAATGATTCACTTGTTTATTCCGTGTATACCCGAAATAATCTAATTTGAAGAGAGTCGAACCACCCTCCACTTGAGTTTGCACCAAAGTTGGCGGAGTTACTTCGTGATACCCGCGATCCTTATAATGATCTCTGAACGCTTGCATCAATACAGATCTCATGATTAAAATTCTCGATGTCTGGAATAACAAATCTCTCTCACTCTCTCTCTAGCAAAATTACACGAATGTAAAGGTACTAGAATTTTCCTATCATACATTTTCGCCTCGGATCATTATATGCCTGTTGTCCAACTGTACATCAGGCAACGCTTCTTCATTCAAAATTGAGTCCGCACCACCAGGAGGCGATGAGCCAATAAGTTTCCAGTAGTCAACATGTAATTCATGTCCACCTGGTGCCTGAAGTGATAATAGCATAGGTACATCATGTCACCAGACGCGGAACAAATATCAATAATGATATTTGTATAATGTAGTCTGTCATTTTGGACATACGCTCTTTCCTTTAGGAACAAGTTTCAAAGTTCCGAATAGTTGAACGGCAGCCTCTGTGGCAAGGGTCAAGGCATCGTATGTTTGACACAGCTTGTCAGTCAGCACACACTGCAGGAAGCCAGACCCATCTCTCAGTGTGATGAACATAAGAGCCTTTCCTGAGATAGACAGTAAGAATATTCCATGCTTTATTATCATATATAAAAAAAAAATCAGTTTAATAATATCGCATACCTTGTCGTCTTAATCTGTGCACCCATCCATTTAGCTTAACCCTTTCCTCTCTATAATTCAGAGCTTCTTTTATCTTAATTTGTCTTGCATTTGGTAAAGACTTGTCCTCTTCTATAACAATTGCCTTGGCATCTTCGAGATTTTTCAATCTCTTTTCCTCATCTTCCAATAACTTCTTCTCCTTCTCCTCGTTTTTGTATTGTTCTCTAAGCCAGATCTTCTGTATCTTCTTTAACTGAGATTTGGATGCTGGCTCATATTTCTTGTCATTTTCATGAGAGTCCTGATAGATGGTCGGAAAAGGTTCTTTACCAGCATGACGCATTGCAGCTAGGATGGTTTTAAAGGGATTGCTTTCAGAGCCAACTCCTGTCTCATCGTTACCATTCTTGTCTGATGTGTAAATGCCTTCTAGAACAGTACAATTATACATGTGTATTTGTAGTTATTTATTTATTTACTTATGTTATCAAAGATACGATATATGTCAGGTAAATTAATTACATGTATATATATATATATATATATATACACAATTACATATTATATCTTTATCATTATTACTATAGTTATCACTCTTATATTAATTTGATTCAACTCACCTAATGATGTCATTTCTTTCTCAGATATTTTGACTTGATAAGCTTGTTATTAAATATATAGCTAGATATCCTATAAAAACACACATAATTTTCACGCAATTTTATGTTAACGCTAGCAATATTGATACATAAAATAATATAAATAATAATATAAATAATATAAATATAAATTTGAAAAAAAAATAAAACAATATTATCACATTTCAATATGGTATATCTGTATTAAAAGATGACAAATTAAAACAATAAATTAATATTAATTAAAATTTATAAAAATTAATGTGGCAAGAAACCATGTGTTACAACTAATATCATTATAAGGAATATTTTATAGTGAAATATATACTAACCTGTACGTTTGTTGGCGTTTACACCTTAAACGAGTACTTACGGTTAAATTTCTACTATATATATTTATACGTTATAAATGCAATAAAATTACAATGTTTCATCAGCAATGTTCTATGGAAACGAGATACTGCAGGTCTGCCAGGTCTACCATCACCTTTAATGCAAAATTAAGATAGTACGGGGAACCCGGCGTCCCGCAAACCCTTGTGCGCATGCGTCAACTACGTCATAGCACGTCACAAGCCGACAGACGCTCGTGTTTAAACGCAATGCTCAGCACTTTCGTGAGGTGAAATAAAATTTTCTTTCCATATTGATTATTATACTGGAAATCCTACGAACGCTTTTATCTCGTTCCCGTCGACAAAAAAGTGAAAAAAAAAATAAAATTTTATTACAAAACGTGACGCTGAGTTTTTCACATTGGGTTACTATTGTAAGTAATCAACAGCAGAATTGAAAGCTTCATCAAAGCTGCTCTGATTCATGCTTACAACACTGTAAGCCTAATTTTATCTTTCCTTGGCATGTAATGAACAATAAAGAATGACGCTTACATGCAATAAGCGTGAATCAAATCGCAGCTTAAATTTTTCTGATAATTTGCAGGATTGGAAGTAACGCGTTAAGCTGCGTCCAAAAACTTCACCCGTGAAAAATCGCGCCGTTCGGAAACATTCGGGTGATACCCATCGAATTAACATATACTGTGTCATTTGATTACATGTTTTAGTTTATAAGGACGTGGAAGAGCAATAACAACTCAATATTAAACAAATTAAATATACAAAGATACTTCATGTCTAAAATATAAATCACATAAATATTAATTTCATATATATATATATTTCATGTGATATACATTTCACTTCACATAAACGTATATTAATAATAATTTCATATTCCAATTCCTCATATTATAACAATCATAAAACTGACCTGATGTGAAAATGCTGCATTCAAAGATATTCACAATAAAAGGCAATATGGATTTCTCCAGAAACATTCCATTTATAGATTATGCTTTCCTACGTGTTCTGCTTCTCACACTTTGTTCCGGAACATAAAACGTAATACACTGAGACAAAAGTTTCATATTATTCATATATCTAGTTTTTCTCAATGTATGCTGCATTTTGTTAAGTCTACAAAAAGAAGTAACTTACCTGCTCGTCCAGGAAGTTCATGAAATTAGAAAGTTTGCATTTAAATCCACGTGACCGTAATGTAGAATGCAATTGTTCGATATTTACAGGCTCATATCGTAATATTTTGTTATGTAAATCTTTATCAACATTGATCAATCTGGTAAAAGCTTCTCTAATATCTGTCGAATTCTCCAATGCCGGTAATGATTCAGTTTCATAAAATTCCATTTCCTTGCTGATTGTACTTTTAATGGAATTCACACTGTCATTACCGGAACAGGTAATATTACTATATTAAAGTACCGTACTAAAATATTTATATCTATGCAAAATAAATTTTGGGCTAGGAGAATATTCAATCTTTATATTGAATTTATACCTGTCTTGTGAACAAAGTAATTCATCGTCACTCTCCTCTGTGCTATTCGATTTTTCCACACTGCTGTCATTTGTATTTGGTCTCTTCGCCGGTGGACCTTCTTCATCACTTGATACTTCGGCAATTTCCTGTTCTGTGCTTATTTCATTTATAGGTATCAAAGGGTGAAGTTCATTATATATATGTTTTAACAATTTCACAGCCCTGCAACGTTTCTGCGCCTTTAATCCATACCTCTTCATTTCTCTCTAAAAAATTAAATAATATTATTTTAATATATTTTTTTATTCTCAGAAGAAAGCAAGTTTTTAATTACAACGATTCATCAATAAACTTACATGTAATTCGGGAGTTTTCATACCATCGTAATCAGGCGGTGGTGTAACATCTTTGTCAATTATCTTAGGCACAGCTTTGATATTCTCAATATTTTGATTATACTGAAATTGGACGGATGCATGCTTAGGCATATCTTGATTTTGCAGTCTGTTAATATTTATTTGCCCCTCGGATAAGGATTTCTTTTGAAATTTTCTAACGCTTGTAATACTTCGAGTCAAAAACATAGCACTACGATCTAATTTCTCACAATGAATTACACCACTAGTTATTTTCCGGCTATCTGTGATGTTCTCCCGATTACTTTTATTGCTGCATCTGCATGAATTACCTTTCTTAAATTCTGTTACGTTTAATATATCAGTTGACTTGCTCCTTTCTAAGACGTGATGTTCCTCATATTTATCGACGTCGACATTTGCGAGATATATATCGTCTTCAAAATTAAAAGCGAATCCAGTAGATTTTCTTGATTTACGGCTACCTGCTTCTGCCACGTATTCATCACAATCTTCTCTACTTGAGAATGAATTTTCCGTATTTCGTAAATCCGGACTGGAAGATACCATAATAGGACTTGGAATGGCTTTTTCTTCGTGATTATCAATTTTATCTCGATTTGATTCATTTAAGCCGGATTTTGTTCGCGTGAAAATCATATCAAGTTTGACGTCTTCATTATCTGCTGTTACGCTTCTATTATTAATATTGAATTTGGTTCGATCTGATAAAATTGTGCTGTTAATATCTTTCTGCTCTTCCAAATCTGTTGTCGTAGCTTTTGCGGTCTCTTCAATAACGAGTGGTTGATTCTCACTCTCTGTATCTTGCTTATTATCTTTCGTTGTTTTTCTAGACAGCTGTACGTGATCTTTATAATTAGAGTCATCGTGTAAAATGACTGAACAGTTAACATCGGAGGATATGCTTTCAACTTCAGTATCCGATGAAACGACTACATCCGCAACTTCCTGCATTAAAAAAAACTGAGTCAGAGCTGCATCGTCCTCCTCCATAGTGTCGCTCTCTTCTTTCCGTGTATTTGATAACATGCTTTCGCCAGACAGATCACTATCTGACATGTTTCTCTCGATCGCTGTGCGATACTTTGCTATGCTATTGTCATGATGATTCCTTATGTATTTGGAATACATGGAAATCTCGTCTTCTTTCTCGTCCGCTTCTAAATTACAAATGCTTTCACTGATCGACTTATTCATCATTCCGATACACGGTGAATGTACCTTCGATAATGGCGTAATTGTGACTCGATCCGAAATGTCAACGTCTTCTTCAACTGGAGCAATGTTCAATTGTGAGTAATTCTCAGGGTTATCGCGAGGAGATTTCCTCTTGGGTGATGACGCAGGCGAAGAATCAGTTCGTTTAATATCTGTCGCACGTTCATTAGAAAAATCGGAGTAAAATTCTGGATTTTTATCAGCAAACGATCGCATACGCTGTTCGATTATACTCAATTTACCAAACTTTTTTCTCGTCTTATTTGACTGTTTCAAGTTATCGGATTGGGCAGCCTTATCATCCCACTTGTATACATGGAATGGATTCGAATGCCTTATGCGAGACATCTTTTCAGGACGTATCGTGATATCTGAATCAGAGTCGACGTCCGAATTCGACCTTGCGTTTTCTCTTCGTCTCTTCTCGATAAATAATGTGAGGTCGCCCTTCTCTCTCGCTACGTTCGATAAACGCTCTTGAATGGCCTTCGACTTACTGCTTTGGGGAGTGTCCATCAACTTTTTGTCTTCACACGGATCAACGAATGGCTTTGAAGAATTCAAATCGGAATCTGAATCAATTTCCATTATATCTTGTTCCTCGTTTTTCAAACGGGTGGAAATACTTTCGCCTGACATTCGCTCCGAATGTTTCGCATCATCAGTTTCTTTAGTTGACAACTTTTGACTGCAAATACTGATATCCGCATCCTGCTTAATTAAACTGAATAACATGTGGATATTCGAGTCCTCATGATCTGTAGAACGTGTTGCGGATTTATACTTTGTTACGTCGGGCGTGTCGTCGAATATGTCGGGGGATATGCTGGCGCCTCGTAGATTCGTAGAGGTGATGTTCCTGGAATTGATTTGCTCCAATGAGTTGATCGAAACCGCTCCGTTGTCTTCCAGTGTGCAGGAATCCTCTGCAAGTACGTAACTATTTCTAAGAGATTGAAATTTATCTCTGTAGTCACTGACATCCTCTTGTAGTGGAATTTTCTCAACACATTCCGTACTTTTCAGCTCATCATGCGTGTGATTCGGCGTTGCGTTGCAAGTGAGCTTGCCCGATTCATCCGAAGCATTCAAAGCCTCCTTTGCACTTTCGATTACATTCTCCGTACTTTCCTCACGTTCAGCTTCTGCCAAATTAGTCTCGAACTTTTTCTGACGTAAGTAAACGAACAAATCATTGACTTTGTACTTCCTTGCTAACGATCTAACAGCGAATAACAACGTGTCCGAATCGAGCGCATTCGAATGCCTGTCTATCGTTCCGCAGTAGATAAATTCTAGAAAGGCCAAGGCAACGTCATAGTCTATGTCGATCCAACAAATCTTCTCCTTTACGGTAGAAAATTCCGTATCATTGGTAATTACGTCGAGTAAAATATTTGTGCAACGTACGTAAAAAACCAATTTATGCACCCAAATGTGTTTGCCATTTTTCACAAGCATAATAATATCGCTGGCAGAACTGTCGTTCAATATATTTCTCCAATCTATTGCAAGAGTGTCAAGAAATCTCCTCTTTTCGCAGCATGCCTCAACTGATCTCGAGATCGTTAATTTTTCGTTGCTATCTATTATATTTGCAGTCTGCATTTTCTTTATCTCCTGCGGTCCCTTGGTTAAAGATTCTTTGTCACTGTGATCCGTAAGCTTCGTAACATTTTCCTCTTCCTGAAAAAAATAATGTTACATAATTGTGTATTCTACATACACATAAATATATCGCGTTAAATAGTTTTTTGGTAGTGCATAGCAATTAAAACAATAACAAATTGTAATTACGTAAAAAACTTATATACATTTAATACATCTTCTTTCTTTAGTAATGGTGTTATCTGAGGCGACAATTGCGCTACATAAAATACATTTTGATTCGGAGTCAATCGTGTCCTATTCCAAAGTGTGTTCTCCTTAAAAATAATGAGAAAAAAATCGAACATTTTACTCCTCTTGAATTATAAAATATTTTGACTAAACTAAAAGTTAGATATATAGTTACAGTTCGACGTAATTGCTGGAGAAATTGACTCTTTAAGACGATTCTCTCTTTAACATTTATAGGTTGTTCATCCTCTCCTTGGACTTTTTGCGTGAAATCTTTGTAACCCATAAGTATTTCAGCTATTCTTTCTGTTAAAATACGTTCTCTTTCTGCGATTGTACGCCTTTGTAGGATAGTTGGTTCAATGAATTTTCCTATTTTAATGAAAAAAAAAAAAAAAAAAAAAAAAAGTTAAAGACCCAAAAAAAAAAAANAATTTTTTTAAATCACAGGATTTAGCATCTGTATACATGAGTTAATACGTAAGTACTTCTCTTGATTCTGTTGGTAGGATAATTGTTTGTTGGTGATACACTTCTGTTGCTAGTGAATCCAAAATTCTGTAACGTTGTTCTCTGAAAGCCTTCTTTGTTATTATCTGGCAAAGATGGACTGGATGATATAGCTATGATTTCAGCTTCATCTAAGATTTCTATCTCTTCTTTCTCATACAGAGACTTAGAAAGTGCTAGAGCAAGTTGAAGATCAGGATCATCATCACGTGCCTAGAAAAGCACAGTCGCGTTTAAAACAACCAGATTAAAAATTTTGATATTATGTCATATTCAATACATACTGCTTTTCGTGGTACGGGCTTCTTTTTGTCCTGTAATACAGGGGCAGAAAGTAATCCTAACGATTTTCTTTCTGCAGCCTGACGTTCTTGCAGTTCCACTGCATCCAACAGCTTCTTTGTGGAAATATTATTTTTCATCGCGCAACTTTTCATGTGTACAGCTTGTGAACTTTCGTCCTTAAGATTTTTAAAACACAACGGACATACATAAGCTGTTTTAACATTTGCTGCTCTGCCTTGTGGTGAGTCTACGTTATTTTCAGTTTTAAAAAAGGATGACTCAATCAATGGTTGTTGTATGTCATGCAGATTCTTCTTACTCTGCAATGATCTATGATGATCGGGCTTTTTCTTATTATTAACAATTTTTATTTTAGTATTAGGTACTTTCTTTTTGGGCTTATCTAATAGCTTATTGCTGTTAATATTTTTCCGTAACATGTATTTTTTCGGTGATTTAAAATCCAAAATGCTATCGTCCTCACATGAAGTTTGAGATGTACAAGTCGAACCATTCTTTTCGCATTCATTATTGCAATCATCAGAAAGATAAGCCTTATTATCTGTACTATAAATAGAAAAAAAGAGAATTACATATATATATATACTATATATGTTCTATCTTAAAGATATTAATATATTATCTTTATGCATAATCAATATAAAAAAATAAAATTATATCTTAAAAATACGTGTATAATAGGAGAAATAATATAATGAAAACACGTTTTCCATCTATTTCAGATATATTTTCATCTTTTTTTCTTTCTTTAAGAAATTATACATCATATAAAGTCAAACTATACATTCATCCAGAATGGCTTTTGTATGCATTATAGAATACTACCTTTCCTTGTCATCTTTTTTCAATTTTAATCTTCCTTTTAGATTATTGGGCTTATGTAAACTATCTTCCCTATTATCCATCATTCTTGTATATAAACTTTGAATATGTTATTTAAACTTTATTTATCGCTTTGTATATTCTCTTGTGTGGATTCAGGCAAATCTTTCATCCAAATCTTCATTAGTTTATCATAAATATCTGATAAACTATATTTTATTATTGGAGCTATAGGTGCATCAGTATCCAGTTCATGTTCATGTTGTTTGTCGTCATTATATAAAATTTTACTATAAGTAATAGAAACAAATTTAATTAAATTTGAATATCACAAAATTTGATGATATGATATCGAAATCAAAGAAAACATAGATATAGATAACGCAAATTGTAGATTTCAATGTAAATAGAAATGCAATAAAAGTACTTACTATTTGTACACAACAGTGTACGTTTTTACAGCGAGAATAGATGATATAATACCCGTCACAATCCGCATATATTTATGCAACTGCGTGTTCCCGATTCGACGTGGTTTCCTGTACCTTTCATCTGTAGGATCTCGTACCATTTCACACAAATCGAACAAAAGAGACAAATTCGAATATTACGAATATTTAATTTATACAATTTTCTGGTACATATATTTTTTTTTGGTTTCTTTCCTTACTCGGCCGGCCAAGTCCGTCTGAGCGCCTTCAACTACTTAGGTTTGTTCGTTTTCACTGCATCACTGAACTAGTACTATAAGTTGAAGTGAGAAAACATATACTTGTCTTGCCTCAATGCTATTGAACTAGTTCAGCGGTGCAGCGAAAACAAACAAATCTCTTATTAGGCATTAAATAATTATCTGGCACAAAATCTTGCGATCCATAGGTCTGTTCCACAGTTTAACTACATACAGTTACATGCAGTAGCCATCGGTTCCTTTGATGTAACGATAATCGATCATATGGCGATCAGCCATAAAGCTGTACAGCCGTTTAATTTGAATGATGTCAATAGCGCAAAGTATCTTGAAATCAGATAAGTTCTATGATTTTTACTATAGAATTATATATTAATATAGATTTACTTTCCGTTTTTTTAATACGAGTATATTTAAGGAAAGTATTAATGAAATTACAAAATAATATATGAAACGTGATATCTGAAAAGTAGCAATTTATTGATGTGATTGTAAGATCAGAAAACATTAAATAAAATAAATAAACATTATTGTCGCACTCAATTTTTCTAACATTTGCTTTTTAGTTTTTGCATTGACATATATTGTATATATCGCCATGAAGAAGAATTCACACTTTGACAGAAAAGCAGAAAGCAAAAAAGCACCAGCTAACCAGATCTCAGGTTGATAATAAACAGTAGATAAAGCAGAAACTATCGACTACCAGCGCGAGTTCTGATTGGCTGCTACTTTTCTGTTTTCTGCTTTTCCGTCAAAATATGAATTCTCCCTTAAGCCTTAAGCCCGTATTAAACTACGAATTGGAGATTGAGATTGAATTGAAAATTGACCAATCAATGCAAAGTTCGCTAAATTTCACTAAACTTGAGTTTAGTTAACTTTGCACTGATTGACCAAATTCAATTTAATCTCAATTCCCAATCCGTAGTTTGATACGAGCTTTAGTGTCAGTCTACAATAGGTATTTTAGCCTTAAGTCTTAAAAAATTGACCAATCACAGTTAATTATTCTCTTTACATTCGACTATGATTGATCAATTTTTTAAGGCTTACAATTTTAAGCACCTATTGTAAACCAGGACTTAGAGATAGAAAAGGAAGAAGGGAATTGAAGGGGAAAAAGTGCAGATAAGAGCATTTATGCATCAAATTTCTAGACGCATGCGCTATTGTTCTCACACCCAATTACTGTCGTGTCCTCGTGATAGAGTTGTCAGAACGTCGAGTGTGCGTAAGACGTGTGTCAGGAATAAGTCGATATCTCGTGTGTAACAAAGATTTTTCGGAAATGGCGAGTCACAATTATTTGAGTGATCCGAAGAACCCGTTCTTTTCATTGGAGGATGACATAGACGACGAGACGTTTCTGCGGGTCGCGCCACCCGGAACTCGACCTGTGGAACGTTATCTCGACAACGACTTCGAGCAAAACCGTCAACAATTGTTGCAACGTAAAAGGGATATAGAGGAACGCACAATACAATCTTCCGAAAGATCTGTCTCGCTTCTGAGAGACTCGGAGCAAATCGGTGCAGCCACAGCTGAGGTAATTGTAACGATATACCAGTCTTATCGTTACCAGTGTCACAGATAGCAGAGCAGACAACTGATACAAAATTCGTATTGTAACATGTGTGTGAAATTTGTGATTATAATAATATAATATTCTACGTGTATTATACATATATATATTATGTGTGTGTACGTGATATATAAAATATATATAAAATTGTAAATTATATTTTTATATATAATTATACACACTCAGTATATCTGTTTGTTTCAATTTTATATATATATATATATATATATATATATATATGCACAGAGTGAATACGAATAGATATTTCAATTTTTTACCATATGATAGTAGTTATCAACAGCAATTATAATTGATTGAGCAGCGTGAAAATAGCCTATGTGTATTTGCATATCTACATCTTCTTTTATAAGTTATAAATATTATATTTATTATNTAAAAAGTTGGAACACTTGTATTCACCCTGTGCAACAATATTAAGAGGATCCTGGAGTTGTCCTGTTTTACTTAAAATTTATTAGTGCTATACTTGTTACTGGCTGCTCAAAATAAAAAAAATGTTTTTGCACAATTACTATATAGGCATTAATATGGGCGAAGACGGTTGACTTTATTCAAAAAATGAAAAAGAAAAAAAAAATAAGTTATGAAACTTTGCAAAAGGATTTTTAATTCTATGCAGCCAGTAACAAATATAGTACTAACAAATTTACTGTAAAACAAAACGACTCCACAATTTTCTTAATTTCTTGACAACGTTTATATATTATCATTAATACAAATTAACAAATGATGTTACATATAAATTTTTATTTTCAGGAATTAATTCGACAAAAAGAACAGCTGCAAAGAACAGAGAAGAGATTAGACGATATTAACAGTACATTAAGATTTAGTCAGAAACACATTCAAGGAATAAAAAGTGTCTTTGGTAGTTTAAAGAACTATCTCAGTGGCAAATCTCTCGATGCTCCGATACCATCGACGAAGTTGTCCGAGTCTTCTAGCTCTGGATCTGTTACGTCTCCAGCGCTGTCTAACTCATTGGAACAGGTGCAAACTAACATGAGCAACTCGTATTCGTCGATGAAAATAAGAGGAAGTTACGATGACAGTGATTACGAAGATGCCAGACCTCCTAAGGACAGAGTAACCAAGGCTCTGGAGCAGAATTTAAATGAAATGAGTGGGTCATTGGCGAGACTGAAGAGTTTAGCGATTGGTTTGTCAGAAGAAATAGACTCGCAGAACGATTTGATCGACAATATCACTGACAAAACGGAGAAGGCGGATATAATGTTGCAGAAGCAAAACAAGGACATGTTGCATTTAATGAAGAAATAAATAACGAATAACCGGCAAATCGGACGTTTCGCTCGTAATACCACGATATTAACCATACTTCTTATACGAAGTATAAATGTACGTTGTACAACGGAATGGATCTTTGACGTTTATTTCTGTCGTTGAATATGGAATTCATGTCGCCAATCATGTGATTATACTGTACGGCGGCATATTTTATAGAATTTTTCACGGTGCGGTTTGCGATCATTACAATGTAATTGTAATAGTACAATGTTAGAATGATTTATTGTCAGTACATGTTCCTTGATGGGGAAGAGATCTATTTAAGCGGTTGTTGTTGCTACGAAACTACACGTAATACCTTTATACGCGAGTATGCTACACGAAAAGCTTTTAATTGACGGTTTCTCGAGATTTCGTAGCCTTTTAAGACATGAAAGCTGTGATAAGCATACATCCAAGTAAGAGTAATATTTACGTTCTAAGTTGATATTATTTTATTATTTACCAATATGAAACTCATAATTTATTGATGAAATAACAAGATTGGCAAAACAAATTTACTATGTACAAGCATATATATATATATATGGTAATGTAAAAGTCAAAAATTGTTTTTTTTTTTAATAAAGTACCCATGTTATCATATGAGTTATATAATATTCGTGCGGATTAATAATCAATCCCCTTTTCATGAAGTTAGATTTTTCACATACGTTTATTTAGTTCATTTACAATTTGCATAACTTAGAAATATCTTATATGTATTGTATATAAAGAAATGATTAATGATTTAAGCAAGATGAAGAGCAATAGCGCATAATGTATAATAGGATAGACAATAATTGTATATACACAGTTATATAAAACTCGTCAGTTTTAATGTTCTTTCCTTTATTATAGATTAAGATAATTACGAAGTGAAATTGTGTGAAATTATATAAATATGCAGAAGTGAGATGTAATAATGAGAAATGTGTATGAGTAAATATGCATTCATGACTGCCAGGATTATTTAATAAAAATCCGAATGATTTATACTATTTCGTTATTTATTGAGCCAAAATATTCATTATTTCAATATGTTGTTAGAAAAAGATCGAATGAAGACAAATAAGAA